AAAAGGATATGATACTTTGTAATTTCTTAGTTGTTTATACAAACTCTAATCAAAGGTGTTTAAAACTTCAGAAGCAGAATGTTTTATCAGACCCTACATATGCATATTTTTTGTATTAAGAATTATACATACAATCTAGCACAAATGGTTAATGTAAAGATGCATAAGCATATTATACAGTGTGATTTGAAAATTCCTGACTTTTTAATTGAGAATTCGAAATCTTTTTCTTTTCTTTCATTTCAGCTTTTTTTTAAATGGTCACTATTCACTAATATCCTATATTCATTCTGGCATTTGCTGCCTTGGCCAGATTGAGAAAGTTTTCTCATCTTACATTTTCTTATTGCAGAACTCAAATTGTAGCATCATGGTGCAGTTCTTTCACATGTTATTATCTCTTAGGAAGATTTCCCTGGAGCCAAATGGTAGAATTATCAAATTTTGGGATCAGATTTTAGGCTCAATTTTCTTGTTTTTTTCCTTTTTTCTGTTAGTTTTGAAACAATTAATAAAGTTGTAGTCCATTGTGACAGGTTTGCTTCCATCATCATGTCAGAGATCTCTTTTCACATTGGCCACAGGACTTCTAGCATTTGCAGGGAAAATCTTTCACATTCCCGGGTTGAATGATGTGCTAAAACCTTTCATGCTGTCTGAGGTGACGCTTTTCCTAATTCTTTCAGGAGGTTTTTTTGCTTTTTTGCATTCCAACTTATGTGATAGTTATTGAGGAATATATATGTATATATATATATATGTATATATATATATATATATATATGTATATATATATATATATATATATATATATATATATATATATATATATATATATATGAGTTTTTCACACATACGATGCATCATATTCCAGTTCAACTTCATTTTCCTTTGTTTAAGAGATAATGGTGTCACTTGCAAAGCATAACTGTACATAAGTTCTTTTTATTGTTCTTTTTCATACATATTGCTCTGCATAAGCCACATACAAGGTCTCCGATCATACATCAGTGTGCATGAATATATTAGTGTAACATCAAGTATTCATACATCCTCTTCAAATATTCAAGCTCTTATTTGAAAATTCAACATAATTTTTTTTTCTTTCTAATTAACTATAGTTTCTCCAGAAAGGTAATACTGAGAGTAATCCTTCCAATTATTTCTTTAGGTGTTTATCAAATACCTCAACAATGTTAATTTTAACCCGAGGAACAGTGGACTTTTACATTTACCAGATACATTCTGTTTGAAATGTATGTGCATCATGTTTGTCCTCAAGTCAAGTGTCTCTTTTCTCTTTCGTTTTGGCTTCTTAAAAATCCACTTAAAATGTCAGAGTTATTACAGCTATGATATATCCAATATTATTCATTGCAATGTTTTCTAGTTGAAACTGCAACTGTGGGAAATTTCTACTGTGTTCTATGTTCTCCTTTGTCTCCTTGCAACAGTTGAGACTTGGTTGCATATCTAATTTTTAACCCTTCAGTTATTAGCCATTCAGCACTTTCTTAACGTTGTAAACCTTTTGCTTTGATTGATCTTTTTCAATAGTTTCCTAAAATTTTGAGAACCATTTAGTGATATCTTTCTCTCTTTTTGCCTTGTTATTATTCCAAGTAGTTTCTTATGATTTTAGTTGCATATTACCTGAATAATGTTACTAGCTTGCCTTTTAGCGTCTGCATGAGGTCATTATCACCCACCAAATTCGACCTTATTTCACAAATAGGATCAATTGCGCTTGTAGGGAACCTTTATTGTTATATGGGTTGGTTCAATATGCTCTTCTTTTCTATCCATTATAAATTTCTCATTTTCAACACCAAGTCACAAAATAAAATTTGATCGAATATTTCCAACTTTATCAATCATGACAATCCAATCTTCTATTTTGAGAAAACATTTCAGATACCTGTCAATGCAATGCATACCAGCTGACATTATGTTAGACCATATGGTTTGGTTACCAATTGGTATTATTATTTTTGTTATGTTTTTTTTTTTTTTGCTAGTACTAGGTGGGATGGAACCATATACAACCTGTACCATGCAAGTCTGGTGGATTATCCATAACTGGTACTAGACCAAGATTTAAAACCTTATATTAAGCTTCTATGAAAGCCTATTACAATAAGACATAGGTGGTAGGTGAGAACTAGGAGAAAATAGAAAAAGTATTGAGAATCTTCTCCAGCTAAATTTTGACTTTCATAGGTTCGATCAACAAGAGGAGATCAAGTAAAATAACTGTGTGGCCTTGTCTTTGTAGATTTTCTAGGTCAGTATCCTAATTGAACTAATTTACAGAACCAGTTATTTTTCTTTTGCTTGTGTGGGCTTGCACATGCATTCAAGCTTGTGTGCTCATGCACACATGGAGAACTTGTAATCCCATGAAACATGTTTTTTTGGATTCCATTAACCTTGTTATTTCATGATTGTATGATTGTATCTTATTTATATCCATTGTTGCACAAACTCACACATCTATGGGCGCATGCCTTCATAGAGGACTTATAATCTCAGAGTATGTTAGTTAATTAGAATTCCATTGACCTTTTCTTTACACAGTTTATATATATATATATATATATATATTCTTTTTATCACACGACTGTGGCTAAGAGATTTAGTCACACTTCACTTGGATCCAGATGATCATACTGATGAAGTAATTTAAAGTGTTTAAAAATGATGTGCATACATCTAATTGTTTCAAAGCTACTATTATTCCTCTTGAGATACAGATCAAGACAATTTTCTTTCATCTACTTGTATTAAAGAACTTCATTTTGACACGTCTGATAAAGTTTTATAAAACTATGATATCTAAAGACATATTTTTTCTTTTCCCAGATTGATCCATATCTGAGAATTGGTGAGGACTTCCAGATCTATGTAATGCCTCAGTCAGATATGAATAACTATGGTTCTGAAAGTGATCAGCAAGCAGCAAATTCTGGTCTCTCCAACTTGAGAAATATAGTGGGAGATTCTGATCTACTTGTACTTGATATGATTGTTAGTGGGCTGTCAACTTTAATTGATGTAAGTTCTTGTACAAAACATTGCTTGTTATCTTCAATTTCAGTGTCTGTTTTAATGTATGCTACAATCAAGGGTTTGTTGAAAGCTAATATGACTGCATTGACTATTCCCTTTTTCTTTTTTACTTCTTCAGCAGGAGAAGGATGTCTTAGCCAAACAACTTGCAGGAATTTTCTTGTTCGAAGATGCACCTTTGTTTGGATTAGAGCCAGCGGTGGACTGGATTAGTGGTCAAGCTCTTGTTGTGTCTGAAGAATCAGTCCCTTTTGATGAGGTATGTCATTCCCAATATGGATTACTTTTTCATAGTTGTTAAATGTATGTCTTTTAATTTGATGGTCCTGTATGAAAAGCTATTGTTGCCAGTGTCGTATGTCTGGCATGACTTGCATGAACCATAGGTGATTGAGCTGTGATTACTTTGACAATGCTCACTTCTCAGGAATGTTCAAGGACTTCATCAGTTAATGGTGACACAGTTAGCCAATCACCAGTTACTGAGATTCCAGGGTTCTTCTCCAGGATGCCACCACCTGCTTTTCCCAGTGTTATAAGTGTCGGTCAATTGCTGGAATCGGTATATTTTCATATGCCTGTGTGGTACCATTTTGAGTATGATAAAAGTATTTTGTAATTAGCATTTCTGAAGTTGTTCGTTGTCACTTCAATGTTGACTATTCAGAAAATATTGCTCTTTTACAAGAAATACATGATTCAGCAATCGAAACAGTTCACTTCTTAGAAACAGTTGCATGTTCTTAGTGGTTTATTCAACATTTGTCATTTTCTTTGCTTACCCATTCTATATTTTCATGAGGGTTATATTATTCCACATGAGCAGGCACTCCATGTAGCTGGCCAGGTTGCTGGAACGTCCGTCTCAACCTCTCCTCTCCCGTATGGAACAATGGCTGGTCAGTGTGAAGCTCTTGGTATGGGCACAAGGAAAAAGCTATCGAGTTGGCTGGTTGGCAGTCATGAATCCATGTCGGATAATCCATCACCGAGTCTCCATATGGATGAGCAGAAGGCTGTTCCGAAGGTAACCTGATCAAGACCACACGATGACACTTCTGCGTAAATGTTTTTGAAGTTTCAATGGCCCAAGAAATCTCCTGATGCCAATTGCACTGGGTTTGCAGGTGAATTCACATGGGTTAGAGCAGGCTTCTGTGCCCATGGAACCATGGCTAGCACTGAGACTACCGCCCGCGAGCCCCTTCGACAACTTCTTGAAGGCCGCTGGTTGCTGAAAGCATAGACAGCTTTCATCGCCACTGTTAACATGCATTGTAAAGGCAGATTTCTGTGCGATTAGGTTTAGGGAACTGGTTAGCTGATTCTGACTCTGTGAACTTGGTAGGCTGAGGAAAACTTTCGATACCTTTGTGCAGTGGAATATTAGTGATGCTTTCGAGTTGTATTCCTTGTTCAGTTATGGTTAACATGAATGTTTCTTGTGTGCCATTGTATCTCTTATACTGGTTAGTGCAGAGATAATGTACTTTGGAGATGCTTTCTGTGGTAGAGATGCTAATTTAACTGATCTCCAAACAAATAGGCTGTGTAATCTAAGCATTTGTTTTTTAGGGTACTTTGGCAAGCCTGGCATATTGTTGCTGTAAATTAGAGTACTATGGCCAGGAGATGCACCATGAGTTGACTTTGATGATATCTGGTTCTACACAGATTATGATGGTTTGTATTGTGCTTGTTAACTGTGGCCATCACTCCCTTTGATATGCTGATAATTTCTAGAGTTAACATGCATTGGTAAATTACAGTGCTCTAAAATTTGTCTGAAAAACAATGTTAATTGGAACCATATCTGACATTCACAGTGAGCAGTTCCCTCTCATGGTTCACCACAAGTTTTGGGAGCTCCAGCCCTCTTTTTGTTGAGAGAGAGAGAGAGAGAGACAATCATGACCTTGTTTCTCAAAAAGTAATCAAAAAGCTTCTTGTTACAAACATGAAATAACATCACAACCTTGTTTCTCAAAATCAAAAAGCCAAGTGACAATGAAATATCTGAACCTATATGCAATGGGGAAAAAATAAAAGAAAATTAGATGCATTATGCTGAACACAAGCAACAGCAACATGCATGCATCTGCCTCACCAAAAAGAAAAGAATCTTGTGTCTTCCATCTGCTAGCTTTGAGAGAACTCTAGCTTGTAAAGGCTGGCTTTTCTCTCAACAATAGGTAGAAATAGAGCAACTCATTCCATGTATCAGGGACTCCAGGAAGGCACCAGTGGCTGCAATCTTGAATGCTGGTTGGAGTTCCTTTACTGGGGTTTCGCCCATATACAGATGGGTGACCATCGATCCGAAGTCCAGATAGATTCGTAATGTTGAGAATGGTCACAGGAGTTTTCATTTGCCTTACAACTTGCTCCAAGATTACATTCTTTTCAGGAACTTGTCTCACATTGGTATCATTCAGAGGATGGATGCTCTCTTTACAGTGCCCTCCGGAATTCCATTTGCCGCCACTGTGTTACAGAGGTAATAAAAGGCAATTATAAGCAAGTATACACGGTTCACGTACTATATTGTATGTTGTGGTTTTCTTAACTCTTGTGAAATCCAAACCTGAAATGTGATGGTGCTGAGCTTCTGAAGAAGACTTGGGTTTTGCCGGGGATGACATGTTGATCGACCCACGATGCCCAAGTCAGTAAAGCTTTCCTGAAAGCAGTAGAAACATCGAGGTGTGGATGAACTTGGTTGCCTTCCTGGTAGTAATTCACACTGTCGAGGATTTAGAAAAGTTAGTATGTTTTTAGCTAGTACATAAATGGATGGATAATGTTTAGATGTTACATGATACCATTATCATGGTGCAGATACATGAACCGTAACACTCTTCTTTAAAGTTGTTCTAATCTTTAACCAATATGTTATATTAGATGATGTTAGCTTATAGTCCCGTGAGCCATTCTATGTGTCTCTATGGAATCTTGCAATTAAAAAGTTCAAAGGATTAACTCAGATAGTCGAACCACATAAATCAAACAGCTTCTATACCTTATAATGCAAGGGTTTTAAACACAGCAAGGACTGGTGCCTACCAACCGATAAATATTGATCCGAGCTGAAACCAGTGTACAGGCCAAATGATACGGCTGGTTGGCACATGTACTGTGCTTACCAACTGATAATTTTTAGATACTGATTTTAGTGTAGTGTATTTGATAAATATAGACCATCATATACTGAGCTGCGACAAAACTAACACCTACTATTTAGCCATCCCTTTTAAAATTTAAGCTCTTAGAGAATTTTCTAACAAGGGTGTCTAAGAATTTATCTTCTACTCCTCTCTTTCTCTCTTTTACTCTCTTCCTTTGCAATTCAAAGATCCAACGAGGCCACATCAACAAACAGAGAAAAAGAAAAACTCTTCCACTTATTATGCCCATATTTATGGTAATATATTTTTAGAAGTTTTCATTAAACATTTAAATTTTCTGTTAGCAACTTAGCATTAAGTTTTAATGTACACATCAATAAAGCATTATAAGTTTCAATTAATTCTAGAACGAGTGTAAAAACACATGGATTGAATCCAACTCTACAGGGATGTAGGCCAGCCTCGCATGAATATAACTTAGATTTGCATGAATCTAGACATAATAGCATGGATCTAGCTTAAATCTACATAGAAATAACAAGACAGGCATATATGTCGTAGATAGGGTTTTCAATTAGATCTATGTAATTTCATTGTGACTGAGAGCATCTCATAAACATGTCAAAGAATAGAAATCAGGGGGGGGGTTTATACTTTTATTATATACATTAAAGAAAGGAAAAGATCAATTTGGTATAAAAACTAACTAGACTGATCGGGTACAGATCTGTAACAACACTTGATACAGATTGATATCAGTACCATGCTGGTCTGAACCGAGATTCGTATTGGTAATGTACTGGTATTTCAAACTATGTAAATACTATTTCAAAATTGTACAAACAACAAACTCTGATAGAAGGCATTCTTCTCCAGTAAATGTCAAAAACATCGATGAGTATTATCCTAGCAAAAATAAACATTTAACTGAATTATAAAGGATCTAGCTATTCTTGTTTCTTGTAATAAATGATATATATTAATCCAATGGCTCTTACGTTAGATGGCTTGAAATATTAAAATAAATATGAAACTGAACGAGATTAGAACACGTCCTGTATTATTCTGCTACAATGCTGCTCAATCTTAAATAGGGCAACTAGGAAGCAGTTTTGTGAAGAACTCTTCTGAGCGAATCAACCCAAAAATGAAATATTCACAAGCTTAATGCCACTGACTACCAGAACATCACAGCAGAGTCCAGTGGAGAATCTAAATAATTACCTCAACAACCTAAGTTGTACACCTAATTCCTCAGATTTAAAACCTTCGCAATAAAATTTGCGTTAATGACTATCTGGAATTTCAATATTGTTATGAGTTCCTTTACGGTGAACCAGTCATGAAGTGATGTGTGAGTAGCATGGAGACATGGTGTGGCACAGATTATGCACAATCTTAGTGGCCTAGTGCCCTGACCTCAGCAACAATAATTTTGTTTTCGTAATTAACACCAATTCCTATAAGGAAAGACGAAAAAGATCAGATGACAAATTCTAACTACGGAAAGCTAAATTCACAGAAGCACAAATGATACACTTACCCAGACATAGTTTTGTGGTGTGACCACCAATGAGCGCTATTGAACACAAGGATGTCTGCACCTCTCCATCTCGATGAACTCCTGTCTATAGTATCAATTCGTAGCGTCATCACGCGCCTCTGTCCTAATCTTGCCTTGCTCTCACGCACCAAAAAATGACTTACATAATACTCGAGACTACAATCATAGTCCTGCACCAACCCTCTCAAAAATCATTGACTTGTGATTTTAATCAAGCCAAAAGGTCTAATTTTAAATGCATACTGGGAATTTAAAGTTGTAATTTCCCCTGTTCTTTGTGATCCTCCGCCCCCGAGCCTCATAAACTCTGGTAGGATCAGAAAGAGCCATTCGTAACATACACAGCATCGATTCCCACTGGTTCCTGTTAATTGAATCTCCAACAAAAACCAGTCTTTTCCCTCTGATTAGTTCCAGCATTATCACAGGGTTGAACCTAAATGGTATATCCATCAAGCTCATACTGATGTAAACAGCTTCTAATTTCCAGATCAAACTAGAGAAGAGTTATACCGTGGAATGCTGCAGCCGTAAGGTTGCCACCTCCATTGCATGTAGTCTTTATCCAACCTCCCATTTTGCTCGCAGCTAAAGCCTTCATCTACAAAGGGGCACGAGTTACTCGCGTAGAGAGGATAACTCTCATCAAAAACCCATCTTCCATCAGAAACATCACATGTGGTTTTGTCCTTGGTCCCATGATTCTCCACATGTGAAGCTTCTCCTTGACCAAAGGAACTAAAGAAACTTCTGTTGCTCATCGTCGTATCAGCCTCCAATTTCCCCCTTTCCATTCCTCTAGCATCCAACTCACTGCTTCCTCTTCCAATCCTTTCGGCTACAGCAGCTAAAACCTCGCCAGAGAACCCAGAACTGTTCTTGAGATTGACATCGGGCAAATCAGTACTGTTATCGTCTTCAAATGTATCTGGACCTCCTCCAAAATCATTTGAATCCGGTACTTCAGTGGAAGAATCACTAGCTTCTCTCTCTTGGACATCATCAAAGATCTCGTCTTTCCCCTCGTTTCCTACGCTCCGAGCCTCCAGAGAGAGATTGCCAACCACCGACACGTGAGTCGCAGCAGCGATGGGAATCCCAGTCGCATTATCCAAGAGACTGCTGTCGGAGTCAGTAAAGGGGTGAGATCCCACAGCCTCGATGCCTCCAACGAGCTGGAAATAGGCAGCGGAGTTGCTGCCGGAGGGGGCGTTCTCCAGAAGCCAAAAGGAGAAGTAGAAGAAGAAGAGGAGAGAGGAGGAGACGGTTGAAGCGAGCAGTAGTAGCCTGGTGGGCCTGATGGAGAGGCTCCTGGGCTTCTCCATGGCTGCCTCTCACAGTGTCTCCTCCACAAAAGGGAAAGGACAGACACCAAAGTCCTGGAGAAGTGCGCGCATGTGCTAAGGTCAAGGAGGAAGAAGACAGCGGTTCGAAACAGGAGCGTGGGGTTGTGGAGTGAGTTGCTTTAGATTGCGGTCCGGTATTTACTTTGGTAAGGTCAGTGTTGGATCACAGTAAGAAGACAGTATGCACGTACACATGCAGTTCCAAATCCGATAGATACGCCACTGTAGTTAACCACCGTCGGTTGAGCGTTAGGACAATGACGATGAAACTTAGATATTAATATCTATTTAAAATATATCAAAAAAATTATATTATTATATTTTTAATACTTTTAAAATAATAATAATAATAATAATATTTATTGATAGTTAATCTGAATTTCTTAAACAGAAGTGATTATATTCTTAATGTCTATTTGATTTTCACTGAAAGGAAATAATATTCTAATTGATTGAATAATGGAAGAAAAAAAATCTTGGGATCAAAAAATTAGAAAATAATTATAGATACAATTTTTAAAACTAATCAATCCTTCATGATTGAATAGATCAAGAATTATTTTCCTTTATGATCAATTAAATGATTGTTTCCTTTTATATGGAATTAATCAGAAGAAGTTGGGTTTTATTGTTTTTAGATCTGCCACAATGTGATTCCAACCACATGAATTCGAATCTGAGACCAATAATTCATTAACCAATCCGATATCTCAACAAAGACAATACATACATATATCATATTAAGCACCAATATCTAAAAACATCATGCCCCTAATCAATTTCATCTGTTCTTCCTATGAAATTGTAACTGATACAAATAAAATAGAGATAGCACAACAGCAGGAGTCGAAACCATCATATTCGACAAAGCCATTGGGTGGTGAACAACATGAGTGCCTGTGGCATTCAGACATCCACAGCACATACTGACCCTGCAATGGATGTCCTCTATGAACTCTTAGAGAAGAAGAAATCCGTCCACCTTATGCTCTTGCTGGCGCAACATGCTGTATTTGATTTGGTAAAATCACAACTTTCAAGGGTCCGCCATTTCACCTGAGATATAACAAGGATTTAGCCAACTGCAGCATGTAAAACGTCTGTCTCTTAACCACATCCATCATCCCTTGTCTTCCCCGGAGCTACCTGAAAGCAAAAAAATCACTACCATTACAGTTCCATCAAGCCCAATCAAGTTATAATATTATGTGTTTGTTTCTTATTAGCAGCTTTCCAATCATTACTAAGTACATTATTCTAGTCTGTGGATGATGATTGTCATCTGTGGATCATACAGCATGCACGCAGAGAATCTCAAATTTTACAGGGTGAAATTCGTTCCATGAAACTTCTATATGGCAATAGAAATGCTTTATAAGTTGGAAAGACTGTGCTTTTACTCTGGTGAAAATTGGTTTCGAGAACTACAAAATGAAGATATGCTGATAAATTGTGGTAACTGAACAGAGCACCCTTCAATAAACTACAGATACCAACAGAATCAATTGGTGAATCTATTAACACGGAAAGAATCAGAGAAACAAAACATGAGAATAGACTACTCAGTTCGGTCAGTCAGATTGAGATCACCATTTGCAAAAGTCAAGGGTAGACAACAAAGGCAAAAGGATGTATTTTACCGTTCTCCAAAGTCTTAATTCTAGAATCATGCTAACAAAAACAAGCATCTGCAACAACAATCAACTTCTTTCTCCAATATAAAACTACAAATAAAAATTTGTGAAATTAATTCGCCATAATACTAGAAATCCCTATTAGCAAAACTCTTTTAGCCGGCAGTCTCTAGTTCTCTATCCTAAAGGATGAACCTGACAAGAAGGCTTTCAATAGTTTGCAGTAATGTGAGGAAGTTCAACTATCCTGTATTCTTTTTCATGTTCTACGGTAAATTGACTCGCATGCATAATATTGTCCACGAAAATGCTAAGGTCACATGCAAAAGTCAAGGATTTGGCTCGTGTACTGAGATGACGATTCCAGCGCCATTGGGTGAGAGGACATAAAAGGTTTAATATTTTGTCTTCTTTTTCACCGTGATCAAATGTATAGTCTTGCCTGCAACTTTTGCTTGTGCACATGGCATTAATCTAGAGAATGGGATTAGTTTTTTACTTAGATAAAATAAGTTGGCCAATGCATCACACAAGACAAAATAATCCAATTAATGAGAGAATGGAAGTCTGGTTGCTAAAGCAATGGAGCACTGTTTGTCTCACACTATTCTAGCAAAAATCCAACAAAAATGGAGATGATTATTAGAGAAATTGGCAGCACTAATACCAGTCAACACGATAATAAAAAAGCATATAGGACCTCATGATCCTTGTTTGTATTGGTCATTATCAAAAACCCAGAAGTCACCAAATTCATCTTCAGTGAAAAGAGTCTAATCTCTTATTAACTACAAAAACATACACTAACAAGAAAAGCATAAAGAAGTGCTCATGAGAAAAAAACAAGAATCAAAAGCACACCGTTGAAGTAGCATAAGTTGCAACATCAGAGCACATCAGATGGACATCCACATCCTGCAGTTAACAAAATAGCTGATGTCAGCAGCACAAACAAGCATTAGAAATAGAAACTATTAAGCATATTATAATTGCCCTTGCAAAGAAAACTCCATAGCAAAGAAGTCTAAGAAATTGATCAGAAAAAAGCTATACAACAAAAGTTTGGACACACCACACAGCATATTTTATGCCTATCCATCACTTGTCATTTCGAATCTCTCAACTGTAGAAAACATTGGAGTTCCACAATCTTTGGCATAGCTTCCCTATTCAATAAATCACAAAAATAGTATAACCAAATTTCAGAAATATATAACCAACACAGAACCATTAACTCCTAAATGCATTGCCATACCTTGAAGAGAAATTGTGGGAATTCAATGGTGGGTAACAGGGTAAAATTTGTATGATTCTGGAATGTGACTACTCTATTCACTCCACAACATTTAGCCACGATGAGTATATATGTCACACAATAAGTGGCTGGCAACCATCAAGTGATTTCTGTGAGATACTTCCTAGAAGATTTATTACATATCCACGAAGGAGGTACAATCAATGTCTTGAAGAGAGATCTTGCCCAACAATAAATCACTTGCATGTTTGGAACAAAGTGGAAGACATTTTTTATTTAGGCTCTCATGTATAGCTCCCATCCCTGGAACCCACTTGCTCTTGTTAAGGGGATCCACATTTAAACGATTTTGGAGCAAACGTATTCTATATAAAACAGTATCAACCTGACCACAAAAATGAGCCAAGCAAGGGAAAGAAAATTCATTGGTGGCTAATCTAGCCAATATAAGAGTTAAGGCACCATCCACAGGCTTTGGATCAGAAAGATTCTGATCCCCCATCATCTTCACCTCCCTTTCAGTTGGAAAGTGCACCGCTTCCATTCCATTTACATCTGTAACCTTCAGATCTTTAGTATAATGACTAATGGCCTGGCGCTTTGTGGCCTCATGCTTTTCTGCCAATGTCAAGAAACATGAGAACCTCAAGTGATAGGTGACAATCGTCTTCACCATTTTAAAGTTACGACAACAACAGAAGAACTCCAACCATCTCCTCCCCACACCAGCATACCATTTTATTATATCAGCATCATCCAAACAGATGAGCAACTTAATAGGCCTGGGCCTCCCCATCGAATTCGTAAATCCAGCCAATTTCACAGCTTTCCTTACGAGCTCCAACGGGGCATTCACCCTCATTCGCAGCTCTGTCAAGTCCTCTACAGTTCTCTTAGCATATTTCCTCTCTTCTTCTTCCTCTGCCAGTCTTTCCTCTTCTTCCACATCTCTAGTAGCCCCAATAGGCATCAAATACTTATCAAGCTTCTCCTGAAAATGGTCATAGGAATCCACCAGCTCATGTGGTAATTGATCCCTAATCCTCTTCAAAGACAAAAAATCACCAGTACTGAGCATCCGGTGCCAATGCCAACAGTCCTCTCTAGACTTAAAATACTCTGCCACCACCTCATGTGCCCAATTTGCAAAGACCTCCCTAACCTCACTCTCTATCCGGAAATCAAATTCAAATTCATGCCCACGCTTGAGCTTCTTAAACAAATGGTTCAATATCTTCAAACCAAGCTTCTTCCGTCTAGTCTCACGAGCATTCTTCAACTCCTGAGCCTTCGCTGCCTTCCTCTTTAGATACTTCTTCTTAGCTCGAATGGCCTTCTCTGACATTGGTGGGTGCAGGACTGAAGGAGGCACGGCCTGAAGCTCCATTCCAAGGAAATTCATCTTCTCAGAGACAGCACTGTGGATTGAAGTCTTCAATTTATCAACTTTGAGCTCCAAATTGTCCTCTAAGACCTTCAAAATCCTGTCTTTAACATTCATGGTGAACAATTTTGAGCCAGAAGTAGCCAACAATATCTCATCCAGATATCGCACGGCATAAACCCTAATTGGCTTGTGAAAAACCCCGGAAGTCTCGTTCTCTTCGAGGCCACCAAGCCTCGGGTTCTTCTTGTGGATTTCAGCCCGGAGATCTTTAATCTCCCGATCCAGGGCGTCAAGGTAGATATTGAGTATAATGGCACTCAGGTCGCTCTCCTGAGGGAACCCGCGGCCCAGTTGGACTCCTCCAAACTCGATGGATATTGTCTGTGAGCCAAATAGGCGCTCAACTAGGGCAACGAGAGCAGGGTCCTCAATTTTCTCCTCCAAGATGGCAACCAGGCGGCGAAGGTGGCGGGTCCCGAAAGGCTCGCGGCGGAGGGCGACGGGGAACCACCACGTAGGGTTTTGGACCGTGGTCTTGAGGTAGCGGACGGCGGTGTGGCGGCCCATGGACTCCCTGCCGCCGTAGGCAAACGTGGCGAACCTCTTCCCGTAGACGACCTCAAGAGCCATCCGGACGGCCTCGACGACGACCTTGAGCTTGAGATCGGGAAGGGTAAGGGCCTCTCCCTTCTTCCGAGAAGGGATCAGGGTGGCGCAGTGGGCGGCGGGGTCGAAGCCGCCACAGCCGAGTTCATCGGCAAGGGCATCGACGGAGAAGGGCGGGGCGGCGAGGGAAGGCGTAGGGATGGAGGGGTTGGCGCGGGAGAGAAGGCGGCCAGTGGCGGCGAGGAGGACGGAGGGGGTGGCGACAACGTAGGGGAGGAGGTTGTGGAACTTGCCGGCACGGTACTGACGCAGGACGAGGGATTCGAGATCGGAGGGGGAGATGGGGCTCGGGTCTTGGAGCAGCCGTGCGGGAGTAGAGAAGGAAAGGAATCGAAGCGAGGAGGGTAGAGACCTGAGAGGCCAAGTTTTGAGCCCTAAAAGCATCGATCCTTGCGGGTGCTGCTCGGGGTGGCGGCGACGGAGACGGAAGCCAGAAGTCGCTCGTTTGTACTCTCACGTTGCCCGGCCGGCCTACCCTTCTCACTCACCCACCCGACTCGTCCTCTCAGAAAAGCTGGTCCCACCCCCACTCCCACTGGTTCGTTTGTGAGTATATTTATAATTTATTTGATTTCCTACAGATAATTAATCTGTAAACATATGAACAAAGACATCAAATATGCGACGCCCACGAACCGTTATAAAAACGTGTATCGGGTTTTGTAGCGTTTCGGGATTTGACCATTTCCGTAATTTTACCAAACAGCGGATGCGTGAAGGACACCCAATAAAATCGACCGACGCCGCCTCGCTGTGCGCCCGTGGAGACTAATCGCTGGTGAGGCGCGTCCAAGATCGAGATCTCTCGAGGTTTTGCCTTTTCTCCTCGCTTTTGTTTCTCCAATCAGGATTTCTTTACTAAAGATCTCGATCAGTTCTGCGCACTCCTGATTGTTTCGTTGGTTTTGTCGTTTGGGATCTGACGCTAGTTTGCCCTAAAACTTGTGTCGGAAAAAGAAGGATTTTGTGTTTTGCTAGTGGATGCTGCTGGTAGAACTTTTGCGTTCTGATATGTTGATGGCTGGGAATTTTTAGGGTTAGTTTCTTGCTATTGCTAATTGAGATGAATTAGTCATCACATATTTGGATGTCAAATGTTAAGGGGGAACATGGAAAAGCTCATCACATATTTGTGTGTAGGTTGATATCCTCGATGAATTGTTTGCTTCATCAACCTTTTGTGTTTTTAATGTATGTGTTAGTTTTTATTGCGGTCAGGTTGTTGTTTGTATGTGTGTGCGACAACTATGGAGCTGAAAAAAGCAAGCTAGTATCTGGAACAGGGAGGGAATAGGTTATATTGGTTTTTAAAACGAGGTATGGGAAAGGATATAAAGCTGGAATTGAGATTAAGAACATGTCCAGAATGTACAAAACTTTTTAAGGGAAATCGTTAGGGGTGTAGCCAGAGACAGGGGCGATTGTTGGGTTTTCTATAGTGAAGCCTGTGAACTTGAGTAAAAGGGGATCTGGTAATCTTCATGGGATGGAGCTTTTGATCAGTTCAACTAAACTTGAGAGTTTGATTCAGAGAAGATCTTGAAATTTGGGAAGAAAACTAGGTTAATTTGATTAGATTTGATGAAAGATTACTCTTGATTCTTAGGAAAAACAGTAAATCATTCTTTCTATTATTGTAAAATTTATTGTAAAAGTTCCCAATGAACTCATTTTTCCAGTTGATATTGAAGATTGTGAAGATTGTTTCCTGCAAATTGTTAAGTAATATGGCTTTTTGGATCATGCATTGTAGCATTATTTACTTAGTCTTCATGTAAAAGTTTGCACCTTCGGAGAGTTAACATTCAGTAATACTATTTTATCCTCAATTTAGAACAATATTTGTATATTGACCTTTCTTTTACTTCCCTTCTATGCCTATTTTCCACTGCTTTATGTATGCCATGCTGTCCCACCCTTCTCCTTCCCCCGCACACTACAGGGGTAAAAAGAAACACACGCATACAGAATTGTTTTGTGGTCTAAATATTTAGGGATTCAAGTCTTCGTTCACAAAATCTCATGTATGAGGCTCAAGCATCTGTATAGGTCATTCATCAGAAAAACGGGACCTCCATGGAGACTGCATGTGTGGATTAATAAACCAAATTAGTTGAGTTGTTTTTTATGTTCATGATGCAAACTACTTAAAAAAATCTAGCATCATGAATATTATTTCACATGATTTTTTCCTTTTAGTTCTATGATAGAATTTTGGTTTCATGTTCTCTTAGATTCATGGATTGTTCTCTGGCACTGAAAACTGAAATATGCGAAATCATAAAATGCTTTAACATTGAGTTGCTAAAGTTTGAAAAATTATATCTTTATTGCTGTTAGGCTGAGGCAGATAGAGTTAATTAAAACTACATGTTATATTGTACTGCTTGGTGTAAATTGAAACAATCAAATGATAATGCACCATCATGAACATGAGGAATAAATAAAGGGCTTTAGCTTGTTCTAATTCTGTATCTTCATCGTCTCCATAGATGGGTTACTGTAGTTTCACGCATGGTTTCCCTTACCGGTTCGTACTGGTGTACCGATCAGTTATCGGTATGGTTTGTACTGAGTGTACCAACATATGGTACATGAAGGCATACTCATACTGGTTCTCTATTGGGCCGGTACATACTGCCTGTATCGAGCGGTATATTGCGATATGATGAACTTTGGTTTCACGAACTCAGTTTGTGCTCACTTGCTCATTGAGTTATGTGTCAGATGATCTTTTGATAGATTTCTGCTTCCTGCTTACCTCCTCTGCATCAGTGTTGTTTGGATAGAGGTGGTTTTGTCCAAAGCCTCTGTCTTGTTCTGTTGTTTACAATGAGTATTAATTTATAATTATCGTGTGAACTTTCCTGGATGATTTTATTGCTTCTTAGAGTTAAATCCATGATACTTGGCATTGAAAATGTCTGTCAATCTCTTACTGGACTTACCTTTTGTTGAGTTTGAGCATAGAAAGTGCTTGATGTAGATAGTATGACTTATTAAATAATGCTATATATCTGAATTAGTGCAAGGGTTGTATTATATGAAAAAAGTGGATATCAGAAATTTTTATTTCTTCAACAAGGTTATATGATTTCAGGTTGAATCAGCAACTTGGAGTATCTTAACTAACCCTTCCTACCCTTTTTGTCCAACAGTTTCTAATTTGTTGTTTGTCTGGCTTGAAATTTGCCCAAGAAAGAACAGATGGCTGCTCATAAAATTGCACACGCGACCCTGAAAGGTCCTAGTGTTGTCAAGGAGATCTGCATTGGCCTTACTTTGGGACTATTTGCTGGTGGGCTGTGGAAGATGCACCACTGGAATGAGCAGAGGAAAACAAGAGCTTTCTATGACATGCTGGAGAAGGGTGAGATCAGTGTTGTTGTTGCTGAAGAATAGCCATCTTTTATATAACTCCTTTGGTGTGAACAGAGACCAGCATTCTGTGTGGAAGCTGAAGAACATGTTCAAGTCTAATTTGCACTTTTTTACTGCTGAATTTGAATAAATTTGGGTAATTGTTGATAACACCATAGTAATGCTATGGACTTCAATTTCTGTTTATATAATGTCTGTTGAACAGCATGGAGATGATCTCTTTCCTTTTTTTTTGGGCAGTTCTGTTGTCTTTATTTGATTTGATTATGGACTAAGCTTTTATGCTATTAGTCTGATGTTAATTGTTAGGTTCTTTTCCTTTTCCTGCATTAAATAAGACATTAATGTTCTGCTGTTCAATCTTGAATCTGATACTTCCTTTAACAAGCATAGGTAAGTGATCGAAATAAAGTTCAGTCCATACATGATAGCAGCACACCATCTTAGAATTAAGCACACAACAATAGTTGGAGAATGATTCAGCAACTTCTACTCTTTCTTGGAATGGAGGAGGCGTTCGTCCGTCAGGAGGGGAGCTCTTCCGGTGCAGCGTCACCCATCACGCTTCCATGGCGGAAGTGATGGAAGCCCTGCACCATCTCGCAGCACTTGCAAGGCCTCGTCACGGCTGCAGCACCAGCGGCGTGGTCGTCTTTCGGCTTCCTCGCCACGATCACCGAGTTGATGACCTCGTCGACGGGGTGGTGCACCGTCAGCACCTCGAACCCTGTCAGTTCCGCTGGCTCCACCACCGGGTACAGGAAGGCCCTGGCGCTGTGGGCGCTCCGGGCCACCAGGACGGCCCCCGGGGCCATGTGGCGCGCGAGGTGCTCGATCACCCGGACCTTCTCGTCGTGACCGACCCCCACCAGCGCCGCCAGGAACACCACGTCGAACCCCCTCAGCTCGTCCGTCACGCTGAGCACGTCCGCCGTGTGGAACGCCATGCGCGCCGCCATGTCGGGATCGCTACGCACCAGCCGGCTGGCGCGATCATTGGCAGTCGGGTCTAGATCGTAGTTGTGGAACTCCGCCACCGGCATGTGCCGCTTGGCCAGCACGATGGAGGTCAGAGGCAGAGGTCCGGAGCCGACGAACGCCACCCTGCCAGGCCGGCTCGACACGTGCCTCGCCAGTAAGGTGTACTCCAGAAGGCTGAGCTTGAGATAGTTGGAGTAGTAAGGGAAGAGCCTCAAATGGTCGAGAGGGTTGTCATATGAAGCCAGCAGATCAGAGTGGTGGCTCTCCAAGAGGCCCTCCGCCTCTCCACAGAGCATAATGAGCTCGGACCTCATCGCCTGCACCTCGGAGCTCAGCTTGGACACATCAATGGCGATCACAGGGATGCAGATGTTGACCAACTCGGTAAAGAGCTCGTTCACTTCCTTGGATGGGCTCAGCGTGGGAAGCTTTGAGACGCACTCATAGATCTCTGTGACCCTCTGAACCAGCCTCTCCTCTTGGTTCCCCATGGCAAAGCTTGTGATCAAGAAGCTAAGGCTGACGGCCAACACAAACACACCTCTCTCAGCTTCCCCGAGAGGATATATATATACAGGCAATGGGGTGTGAGGATAGAAAGAGATGACCCTCGTCCTCCTTGCATCGCATCTCAAAGCTGACCTTCTCCAATACCAAGAACGACGATCCATCCAACAAATCCAAAATCCATGTTTCTTGTTGGATAACAACAGCTACGAAGAATCAAAAACACAAGTCTACGATTCTGATACTGTTTTATATTCGCACAGGGCGCACCAAATTAACCCTTTGAGATAGAACGAGCCGTGTAGTGATATAAGCTTGCTTTGTTCATGTCAACTCGCAACATTGCTTGTGCTCTTAGATAAGGTGATCTATGTTTGGGTTTCTTGGATTCTGTCGATCCAAGGAGGAATTTTTATGCGTCAACCTCGACGATTTCTTTGTAATCCAATTATCTAAACCAAGATTTATTGATCTTATATGCAATTTCGTACAAATCGATTCCGTACGGGATGATATAGTTGGCTTAGGATATGGTAGAATATGTATAAAGCATTTGCCACTTGCCATCAAAAATTAATGATGATTATTATTGAAGTGAAAAATCGTTGGAGTCAAACGTAATCATAACATTAGAATTCTAATGACATGTACATTAGAATAGAATTCTCAATCAAATGCAATTGGTACAAAACCTTAGAAGACTTTTAGAAGATAGTCAAGGTCAAATCGAGTCAAAGATGACATGGTCGATTAACCAACCTTCCTACACGAAGTAAATTTGACCTCTTATAATATTGGATGGTTTAATTAAAATAACATTGGATAAGATTAGTTAAAATTAAAATTAATATTGGATTACTTAAAATACATGAGTTGTCACCTCTACTTTTGATGGGTTTTATGATACCCAAATGAATGTTTTGGCTTGATCTCCGGTCAACGACTACAATTAGGACTTTTAATATTTTGAATAATCAAAATCAATTGCTTATGTTCTTCAAATTAGTTTAGTTGACTTTTTACATCTAGTGAAAGTAACCCTACTTTTCTGATGCACTTCACATATCCAGTGGTGCAATTTCCCACCCAAAAATTTCATGGTGTCCAAGCAATAATAATTTTATTGTATTTTATGATTCTTAGAGCTAATATCCTAAGTGGACAAGAAATTCTTGAAATTAGGGTTTGATTCTTATGTAAAATATGTAATTCTGCAGGATTTATTAGAGAGATGTAGAAGAAGAAGAAGAAGAAAAATGACATATTCTCCTCCCAAAAGAAAGATATGTTATCGTTTCATGAGTTAAACAAAAGTCAAAGCTTGGATTTTGCTTCATTCATGCTTATTCTAAAGGGTCGTGATGTTTAGCAACATCATATCTAAATGAGAACAGTGAAGTCTATGTGATACGACAAAGGCAACAATGGTCACACGCACGCTATCGATCTATCTATCAAGAAGAAAGCTGCTACAGGAGAGAGATGCCAAAAGAAGTCTTGTTGTTAGGTTCTTTCCTTTCCGTCCAAGCTAGCTAAGTAATTGTTTCTTCCTGCGCCAGACCAAACATGTTGGACTTGGAACACTCTCTGCAACGTTTCTTTCTTCTCTCCAATCTTAGATCTTTCTACTGCAACGATACTGAAACAGGGTTGGAGCTTTGAACTCATTTATTGGTGTGCCTTACATGCTGTTTGCAGAATGAGTTCAGCTGCATTCAGATGAGAATTCTGCACTCAAACATTGATTCTGACATATTTTCCTGGCAAGCAAGTGATCATCATCACAGAACACACTTTGTATTTGGTACAATTATAGGGAGCGCATATAAGTGATAGAGATCGAAGCTTAAGTCCATACATGATATGTAGCAACAGGAAAATACCACTGATTTCCCTGACGAATTGAAAGGGGAAGACGAGAAGATATTTAGAAGCACACCATATTAGATCTTAGCACGCGGGAATAGTTAGACACGCATTAGAATGTGTCTGTGCCCAATGATTCGAGAAGAGGTATTTGAAGGAGGAGGCGTGAGTTAGGAGGGGAGCTCTTCCAGTGCAACCTCCTCCATCATGCTTCCATGGCCGAAGTGATGGAAGCCCTGCATCATCTCACAGCACTTGCACGGCCTCATCACGGCTGCAGCACCAGGGGCGTGGCCGCCCTGCGGCTTCCTCGACACGATCACTGAGTTGATGACCTGGTCGCCGGGGTGGTGAATCGACAGCACCTCGAACCCTCTCAGGTCTGCCGGCTCCACCACCGGGTACAGGAAGGCCCTGGCGCTGTGGGCGCTCCGCACCACCAGGATGGCGCCCGGGGCCATGTGGCGCGCGAGGTGCTCGATCACCCGGACCTTCTCGTCGTGGCCGATCCCCACCAGCGCCGCCAGGAACACCACGTCGAACCCCCTCAGTTCGTGGGTCACGCTGAGCACGTCCGCCGTGTGGAACGCCATGCGGGCCGCCATGTCGGGGTCGCCGCGCAACAGCCGGCAGGCCCGATCGTTGGCGGTCGGGTCGAGATCGTAGTTGTGGAACTCCGCCGCCGGCATGTGCTGCTTGGCCAGCACGACCGAGGTCAGCGGCAGAGGGCCGGAGCCGACGAACGCCACCCTGCCCGGCGGGCTCGGCACGTGCCTCATCAGTAGGGTGTACTCCAAAAGGCTGAGCTCGAGATAGTTGGAGTAGTAAGGGAAGAGGCTCAAATGGTCGAGAGGGTTGTCGTAGGAAGCCAGCAGATCAGAGTAGTGGCTCTCCATGAGGCCCTCCGCCTCTCCACAGAGCAAAATGAGCTCGGACCTCATCGCCTGCACCTCGGAGCTCAGCGTGGACACATCTATGGCGATCACAGGGATGCAGATGTTGACCAACTCGGTCAAGAGCTCGTTCACTTCCTTGGATGGGCTCAGTGCGGGAAGCTTTGAGACGCACTCGTAGATCTCAGTGATCCTTCGGACGAGCATCTCTTCTTGCTTCCCCATGGCAAAGCTAGTCATCAGAAAAGAACCTCAAGGTCGAAAGGCGAGCACACACCTCTCTCTCACATGCTCCCACAGGGATGATGTAGGTCCCTATATATGGGCAAGGGGGGTGCAAGACGACACCTTTTCGATCCAACGCCATGGATGGTTAGGATCGAAGCAAGGGGGTGCAATATTAAATCGACAACGAACGCTAAACAATGAGCAAGAACACAAGTCTAAGATTCTGAGACCCTTGTATTCACACAGGGTGTGCCTGTTGCACCCCTTCCGAGAGTACGAGCTGCATGGTTCCAGCTCGGTCTTTTGGTAAATCACTACGTGCATGAACACTGCATTGATTGCCTATATTTATTTCGGTGATTTATATTATTATGCATTGGTAAAAATGCCGTGAAAATAACCATCCAATAATGCAATCTACCATCCAAAATTTGACCTACATGCATCATCACCTACACTATTAGCAAACACGCAACTTGTGGAATATCTTCTAATCGATTAGAGGTTGACCATCCAATTAATTTCAATGCGAGATTTAGTAAGAATCAAAAAATGAATATATAATCTTATCCTTGCAAACAAAGAGAGAGAGAGAGAGAGAGAGAGAGAAACATATGGGACGCACATAAGGACGTGAAAGATTTATGGGTCATTGGGAGGATGAATCATTGATAGGGACATCAAAAGGTAGCTGTTGACATTGAGATTTGGGTGGCTTGTTTCATGCCTTCTTCTTGAGAAGAGTAGCCACCTACGTGATGTATTTTGCCTTTGGAATATTTGCATTCACACCGTAACTCAAAGTTGAAACAAAAGAGCGATGCATGGGGGTGACATCACAAACGAAGCCATTTACGTCTCCACCGATACCTTTGCATTAGGGATGTCAGCCTGATAGATTTTATTTCTATTTTTTGAGTAATCGTATTCATAGACTTGGTTGATTGATGGTAATCAAATTTTCCATGTAATTTACAAATCCAAGAAGAGCTGCACATGAACAAAGGATTGAGCTTTTTGTTTCTCTATACCTCCATTCTCATGTACACAAAGAATGTCACCATTGTATGAAATGAAAGAGATTAAGATTGAGAGAGAGAGATGATAAGATGGATGACAGAAGTTCAGATTAACAATGCCTTTATATTTCAAGTTTTCTGCTGAGAAATCATGTCACAGATAACAATCTCTTTCAGAACTGGCAGTACATGATGGTGGTGTCAGAAGAAAAGGGTTGAAAGAGGCGGCATCTCCACTGAGAACTTCCAGTGTCTGTAAATAAAAAGAAGCTTGCAGAGTCCCCACTGATGAGCACACCATGTCAGTGAGTGATGAAAGAGCACTCACCCCAAGTGACTTGACATGGAAGAATGATCTTTGGCAGTTTGATAAGAGTCGGTCACACAACCACACATTAGTGAGTTTAGTGAGTGAAGATTCTACAAGTGTAGTGCATGAACTTTGTAAGAAGATGATCACATCAAGTTGACTGAAATGATGTTACTTTCATGCTGGCATTTCTTTAATATCATATGGTTCTTTTGTTCTTTAAAGATACATTTTAGTCTCCCTAGACATAAGTATATTATAATAAACTTATTTTTTTATAATCTATATAATCAGGGTTAAGTCAATAAAAATGAAAATAAATCTCGACTTACCGAATAAAGTTGAAGATTAAGAAAATTCATATTTTCTTTATATCCGACTCAAGAAAATAATTTTTCTATTTATGAATCATATAATACATCGTATATATCTCATACAAGGATAATCATTCATCATTTAATATGAGAAAGAATAAATATCATATCACAAATATCATTCGAATCATTCCTTTTACGATAGTCGATTTAAATAGTGATTGTTTAGCTATCACATAAATATCTTAAAAAGTAAAAAAAAAAAGAAGATATCAGTATCATTTTCATTTGTCTTTTTGCGATTTGTGGAGAAAGTTTCGGCTTCTTCAATTAAATATTATTGCTTTTTGAATAAGTTGGGAGATGGAGATGATTCATCATATTCTAAATTCCTATTTGATGTAAAGTAGAAGCATCATCATGACTAATGCACGCATTGAACTCCACTTCTCTAAATTAATATTATCTTGGAGTGTCCTTTTTGGATGTGCATAGGAAAGATCGAACAAAACTTCCATTATGTTATTATTTCTCCTTAATGCTTAGGATACTTAGATAACTTTGATAACATTGTTGTGGCCATCCTTGAACTTAGACACTACTATAGAACTTGTTCGAACGACAAGACATCACAATGTTTTCTTTCCCCTACACATGTCAATCATCCATCTTTTATCAGTGCTATCAAGTTTTATTTGTTTTTGCTTTCATTCATGATCATTTTGTTCAAATCAATATAATAATCATCTTTATCAAAAGATCATATAGTATTATGAGAAAAGAAAAAAAAATAAATTAATTTGATCATTTTATAGACATAAACAAGCACTTAAATAATGACATTGAAATATTTGATATTTTAATTATTTCTTAATTAATAAATGATATCCTTTCCTAAGATTACATATTTATTTATTTATTTTTTATGATTTTAGTATTCATTTATCGTGGATGATATAATAAACACTTTTTTATTTGTCAAATAACAAGACTCCATAGCACAGCACATCATCCAATATGGACGGTGCATATTAATTTGTTAGTACACTCCATTGTACCATGTGTTAGTATGTCGGTACATATCGAATAATACGAACCATGTCAAATAGTACTCGATCCAACGTATCATATTTTCACGTCAAACATGTATGTCGATAACCCTAAATCTATATATTAATTTGTTGGTACACAATTTTTTTGTGTGTATTGGACACACTGCTCAAGTAGTAATCAGATTATAGTTTTCTCTTACAATAGAGATAACACTAAAGATCTTGATTCTCCTATCCTCATTAAATATACGGCTAAATATACTCATCGATACCCATATATAATTTAAGATGCATTTGCATGCGGCTGCTAACTCAATACTTTCAGGCTGATCTCATGCTCGAGTTGTGTTTAAACAAGGCTAGTAAGATTTGAATAGAGAGAGAGAGAGAGAGAGAGAGAGAGGAAGGAGGATGTCGACATATGCCGCCATGTTGGATGAGCATTAGGTTTCACCTTCTTCCTTAGAGGAAGGTGCTTCCACTCTCCTTCTTCCGTCCACCACCACTGCACACTTGCAGCTGCGTCCTACTTTGGAAGCAGCAACTCTGTGCCCCCTTTTCGTTCTTTAGCAGAGGAGCCACTCATCCGGAGAAGATGATGCTGCCTCTGTGAATTTTATGTTGTTGCACCAATCATGCGTGCATGCTGCTCCTGCTTTAGTCAGTCATATTGGCCAATGCCTTCCAAAGAGCAGAAAGGTTGTCGCGACCACTCGACGCAGGGATTGATAGCTGATGCATCGTTGTCTCCTCCTTTCTTCCCCTCCTCTCACATCTCTTTCACTGTCATCATAACGATCAAAAGCAATGGCCGAGGCTGCGAGCCATCGACAAGCAATAGTTTCTTGGGGACGTTGCCAATAATTGCAAGACCATAATAAGTCATGCTCTGAAACTAATGAAGTCATAATCACGTCTTCTTAACATTTTAGCCAAATTTATTGTATCTAAACACTTAAATCATTAAATAATATGCATATGTATAATTTGATCTTTAACGAGACGATGAATGAATAGGAAAAGATGTTAGTAAATTATTGACATTGAGAGTCGTGAAGTGTAAAGGAAAAAAATTTGTATGGAAGGATGAAAGAGTATGGAGGAATGAAAATGTCATATGATTCAAAATTAATCCTAAATTTATAAACATGGTATGTAATTTCGAATAGTATTGTCCGATACGAGTGATACGTACCGGTCCGACGACATATCGGTACGTGGACCGTTCGCTACCGGACGGAATGTGCTATAGTGCTATAGTTTCATTGTAGTACTGCTACGGCACTACAATAAGAGGAAGAAATATTTAAAATCATTTGGTACGCCCAGATATATCGCTTAATATGTCATGGTATATCGAGCGATATACAGTACCGTACCGTACCGAAGCAACTTCGAAACATCGGTACGGTACGATATTGCATACCTTGTTTATAAATATTATTAAGGTTTATTGTTATCTAAAGTAATTGTAAATACAAAATAGTTATTTGCTATAATAATATCATTAGACAAATATGTCGATATTTGTTTTCTAAGAAAAATATAATAGTAATTTTCATGAGTAGAGCGTACCGAGTGGTATACAATACCGTACCGTACCGAGCCAACTTCGAAACATCGGTATGGTACGATATTGCATACCTTATTTTGAAATAGTATTAAGGTTTATTGTTATCTCTAAATTAATTGTAAATATAAAATAGTTATTTGCTATAATAATATGTTAGACAAATACGTCGATATTTGTTTTCTAAGAAAAATATAATAGTAATTTTCATGAGTTATTCTGTTTTTTTTTTGTTTTATATACTTTCTTTTGTCTTTTTGTTTCAGTTTCAATTTTTTGGAAAATAAATATATGATATGAAATGTAAAGACAAAACATATTTAGCATAAAACAATTTTATTAAATTTCTTTGTGATTCATTAGTATTTGATAATCTTATACGATTTTAATATTTGATTTTAAATTTATATTTCGGATCCTTTCGATCTAATCGATCAAACCTATTCGGAAACAAATATCATAGTATCTTTTTTAAAAAAAATTCAACATAGAATATCTTATTTCATAAAACTTTTGGAAAATATCTCAAATGCAAAATGTAATCTCGAATTATTAAATTTAATTTTCCTAACCTTTTATGTTTTGTGGAATAATTGATCATTTTAACATCTTAGAACTTATTATTAAAAATAAATCATTCTTGAACATCCATCAACCCAACTCATAATCCAGATTCAGTCCTATATAACAATCCAAATCTTTTCCCATGTTCGATATCGGACTAAATTAGAATGTTGAAGTATTATTGAAATCGCATACAAACAATTGATATCATTAAACATTAATCTCTTTTATATGGTCCCCACTCTCTCAAAAAAATTAAATGTATTGATTACTCTAAAGATTTAGCTTGAGAAGCTGAGGAAGGATGCAAATGGAGAAAAGAATGCTGAAGAATGGACAGGAAGAAGCAATTTGGTCTTATGAAACAGATGCATAATGGATATATTACTCAAAAGAGTTGCATAAATGTAGTTCTAGATGATTTAATTGATGAACCAAAGTAAAAGATTGACTCTAATATATTTCCCCACAATATGAGAAGGGTAAAAAGGCCCATGTTGATGTATTTTGCAACCAAACACTTACATCCCATCAAATTTAATGATGTTGAAGTATTTAGTTAAAAATAGCTGCTTGAGGATAACCTAATTAGAAGAAAAGAATTGTTCTAAGAAAAACCTTTGAAAACAAAAATTTGAGATTATATATATATCTTGGGTGATCATGAGATTTTCATATGAGGAAAATACATAGGATTTACATGAGAGAGACTATATATATATATATATTTAATGTTCTCATATTATAAAATTTTGAATTTTTCCACTGATAGAGACAAAGGATGATAAATCATTCAAATTATATATTTATGATTATTATTATTTAAATTTATTGATTCTCTGAATTGTTAACCATCATCTGGATGGAGCTGATAGTAACATCCTATTGCAGACTCTGACTCACAACTTGCAGTACAATTAATGAAGTCCAAACACAATCAAAGTTGAGTTTAATTTTGAAGCTGTTTTGTCTCATTTACATAACATCTTAGTCTACTCAAGCTTAGGGTAGAAGAGATTAAGCTGCATAGTTTGCAATTGCTTTCTGCCACTACAAGCCATAGTTTTTCTATTTTGGAGCATTAATTATAGAGTAATATGCTTATTGCATGCACTCTATGAAATATTTGGTCAAATATCCACTTTTTAGATTTGGTCTAATGTCTTTTATCAACTACTACTAAATTACAAGCCATAGTTTTTCTATTTTGGAGTTTTAATTATAGAGTAATACTTATTGCATACACTCTATGAAATATTTGGTCAAATAACCACTTTTTGGATTTGGTCTAATGTCTTTTCTAACATAATCAACCCCTTTTAAATGATCAAATTATCATTCCTATGCTTTCTTATCAACAGCCACTAAATTACAAGCCATAGGTTTTCTATTTTGGAGTAATGCTCATTGCAGACACCCTCTGAAATATCTGCTCAAATATCCACTTCTCAGATTTGGTCCAATGTCTTTTCTAATATAATCAACCCCTTTTTAAATGGTCAAATTATCATTCCTATGCCTTCTTATCAACTACTACTAAATTACAAGCCATAGTTCTTCAATTTTGGAGTATTAATTATAGAGTGATGCTTATTGCATACACTGAAATATTTGGTCAAATATCCATTTTTTAGATTTGGTCTGTTGTATTTGATAATATAATCAACCCTTTTTAAATGGTCAAATTATCTTTATGTTGGTTTCTTATCAATCAACTACTATCATCAACCAGTGAAAAGACTTTTATTTCTCTACAATTTGAAATAGCACCATTTAAGTTTAGATTTCCAATTTGAAATAGTGATCCTTTCAGTTCATTTATTTCAGTACTTGGATTGTAGTAATCAAAATAATCTCAGGAGCTTCTTAAAAGTGCAGATAGGCTGTTAAATGATTCAGCAGAGAGTTAAATTTATATGATAGGAAATAATCTCCTCAATGTTTAGAAAACTTAAGAGACTGCTACTGATTCTAAATAAAGATTACCAGTGACAGTGCTCCAAAGTCAAAGAAAACTTTGATCAATCTAAGCAAACAAGGCTTGCATAAAATGCACTAACCATTGTGTATACATCCACAGCTCATTGACAACTTGAGCACATTAGCAATAGGTTTCTCTCATAAGGTGTTGGACTTTCTATCTAAATATTTAGTATTCAGGAGAGTCAGATATGTTTTATGTTTATGACTACAACATAGATTGGGAAGAACAGAAGATTTGTTGGGAACTATTTGAACAGCTTGAAGAAATGTTTGTGTTGTGAAGATGGTTGGTGGTGGGACAACATATATGTTTAGGCTTCTCAGGAATCAACCTACTGAAATGAGATCATTCTCCATTAATGATTCTGTGAAGTGCTCACATCCAAATCTTGAGTAACCCAAGTAGAATCAGATACCATGGAATCAGTTTCAAATGTTGTAGCCTCTTCTAAGACAACAGAAGAACATCCTTACAGAATGATAATGTTACTGGCTCAAACATACCAATCTACAGAACCAATCTACAGAACCGGGGAACTGATGGAACAGTGATGGAGACACAGGTGAGGACATACCTTGCACAACAATGGAGTTTTCAGAACTGGATTCTGTCAGCAGTGGCCATGGTCGGAAGCTTACATGGCTTCAGGAGAGAGCTCGGTATACTGGGTATGTCCAAGGCCATCCCACTGGCCTCCTCCACGAACCGGAGCACCGAGTTCACCGACTGCAGCCTCTCCATCAACTCGCTCAGCTGCGCCCTCAGCACGGCGTTGTCCGATTCCACCTTGGTGTACTGCTGCGTCACGAGATCGGTCTGCTCCGCGATCTGACTGTTTTGGATCTTGATGTGCGCCATTTGATTCATCAGATCGTTTAGATGCTGCTGCTTCTTCATCCTTGACCTCCGCGCGGACTCCCGGTTCGAGAGCATCCGCTTCCTCTTCCTCTCATCGATCACTGGTTGCGAGTCCCCCTCAGAGCTCGAAGCCCGGCGAATCGGGAAGGAAGACATGCTCTTTCTAGTCGAAATCGGATCGAACTCGAAGTGAATGGATGAAGCGATGTGAGTCAGTTCATGAGATCACATAGAACCAGTAGAGGAGGAACACGGAGAAGGAGTGGAGGAAGCAGAGGCTGAGAGTAGCGAGATCCATGAAGGCTGGGAAATTGTTCTCGACAGAATCATCAAGACCATAAGCAGTCTTCGATTACCGCCACGACACAAGACAAAATCCACTGAAGAGGAAGGCGGATTACAGAAGATCAGATTCTGGGAGTTGGGGGTCGATGATCGCGATCTGAAAACCAAAACCAAAACCAACGCTGAAAGATCAGATTTTGAAGCCGGATTCGAACGCAGGGGAGGATTCCACCAAACACTAGTCACAACAGAAAGGCAGAACCACGCTGCAGAAACCAAGAACAGGGCCTAAACACCAAGAACAAAAAGAAAACATCCACTCAATAGGAAGGCGGACCACAAAAGATCAGATTTTGGGAGTTGGTTGTCGATGATCGCGAGCCGAAAACCAAAACCAACGCTGAAAGATCATATTAAAGGAGGATTCCTCGGGAGATTGATCAGAACAAAAAGGCAGAACCACGCTGCAGAAACCAAGAACAAAAAGAAAACAAGAATACTTAGCTGGAAGAAGAGCCAAAACCAAATCCATTCGAGGCTGTGAGATCGAGCATATTTATCAACGAGGAGAGGGGCCTTCGGCGGCCCCAAGATGCAGTGATTTTGGGCCTTTAGATTTGCGCAGAAATGTCGCAGACAGACACTCCATGTTGGATTTGACCGCGAATCTTTGATGGATCACAGGAATCTTGAGAGCATATTCGTGTTAAGACCCTTTTGCCAATGAATCCAAATGTTGATAGGTTGGTGAGCAGATGAAGTGAATAGTTTGTGTTGATAAGTGATAGAGGCAAATAATAGACACTCATAACATATAAATTCTTATTCATATTAATCTCTTGCATGGATATCTCAACCAATATTGCTTCTATATTAATCTCTTTATAGAAGGTAAAAATAATAATATTTTTATTAGTGAGTGTGAAGATGTGAAACTATTTTTTAATAATAAAAAATATTAATATTGGAGATACCAAAAGAGATTGAGGGAGATAAATAAATAAATATATATATATATATATGAATTTAATTACTCTTAATTTAGTTAAGAATATGATCTTTTATATAGCTCGATGATGATAAAAATATTTATATAGTTATCTATAAATAGTTAAGACTTTACTGCTAATATGGCTTTATTTATGGAGAGTAAAATCATTTTTTTGTATAATTAAATGTACTTAGTTTTTCAAGAGAATTGAAGATAAAAAAAGAAACAAAATCAAAATGTTAGGGGAAGGAAATGATTGTAGAATTTACCAGAATAAAAGGGAAATGAACTAATTTAATATAATATTATAATCAGAATTTTTATATTTATAACATTCTAATTTAATTTAACATCAAAAGTAAGTTAAGATTTAGATTGAATATACTACAATTAACAAGCATGTCATCTCATCAGGTTTGGTTATGATAAATGGTATTAAATTTGATTTATTATTTTCGGCTGTGAGATTTAATTATATATTATTTTCTTAGATCAAATCATGATAAATAATAACTTAGTGAATTAAAGGTGCTAATTATTTTTACTGATAAATAAATACCTTTATAATTTATTAACTATAATCTTCATTTATTCTTTATAAAATATTAAAAATATAATGAACTCAATATTAAGGATGATAAGTCCAAGCAAGAAAATACTAAATCAACTAAATATAATTTAATTAGTTTAGTCTTCACATCATATTGACAATGATGTCTTGATTTATAATGTCATACTAGATTTACTATCATTAATGTAAAGTAACGGTGTATCTTTATCAAATTAACTAGTCAACATAGCAGTTATCAAAGTGGACCATTCATAGTTAGATACACAAAAATATTAAGGCCATTTTCTTGAAATCCTTCCTTTTTTGTTTTTTATAATGGCTTTTCTTTTCAAAAATTTTCAATTAGTGCATCTATTTATAGTAATCATGTAAATGCTCTTCAGTTTCTTTTCCTTTTTTGCCTGTTACCTTTGCCCTTCATTTACTTCATGAGGTGAAGACAACATTGCAAGGCTTCTATCGAAAAATCTCCATCTTCACAACACGAAGCAGAGGATGGAAGTGATGACTGTGATGAACATGAAGGACGAGTGGCACCTCACAACAAAAGTAGGGAGTAGAGATGGTCGATGCTTAATAGTGTTTGCGAGGAAAAGGTGAAAGAAAATAATATTTATAGAATTACATAAAATAAGAAATACTGTTAGAAGAAAAGCACTATCTAGAAAAAAAAGGATTTTTCCATAAAAATCATCCCAAAAACTTGAATTATTTAATAATGTTGTAGTATCTAAACGAATCTAACATAAATTATTTCAGTAAATGATATATGAACAAACCTAATAAAAAGTCCAAATAAGAAGATTAGAAATCCTAACCTAATAAATGCTCTTCGGTTTCTTTTCCTTTATTGCCTGTTACATTTATCGTCTTTAGCTTTGCCTTTACTTCTCATGCTCATTACTTTGCCCTTTATTTGCTTCACAAGGTGAAGACGATATTGCAAGGCTTTCATCGAAAGGTCTCCACCTTCACAACACAAAGCAGAGGAAGGATGAAGTGATGATTGTGATGAACATGAAGCGGAAGTAGGGAGTAGAGGTTGTCGGTGCTTAATAGTGTTGGCGAGGGAAAGGTGAAAGAAAATAATATTTATAGAATTACAAAAATTAAGAAATACTGTTTAAAGAAAAGCACTATCTAGAAGAAAAAAAAGAGTCTTTTCCATAAAAATCATCCAAAAACTTGAATTATTTAAAAATGTTGTAGTATCTAAACTAATCTAACCTATCATGATAAATTATTTCAGTAAATAATACACGAACAAACCTAATAAAAAGTCCAAATAAAAAGATTAGAAATCCTAACCTAATCTAATATTTTTGTTGTGATTCCCAGTCCAACCATAAAATCATTTATGGTTAAGCATCTTCCTCACTTTCTTGGCTAATCTAATATTTATTTTGATTACCCTATTTTCATATAATCAATTAATCCAAAGGTATCGATTAATATATATATATATATATATATATATATATATATATATTATCGTTAAATTGCAATGAAACCTATATATCCTCTTCCTATGAGTCTACTCCTCCGGATAGCGGATCCTCGAATCCGAATCCGATAAAAACCCCGATCTCAGACCCGAATCGCACGCATGCTTTAGATTGTTTTTTGGGTTCGTTTTACAAATCGATCCTTGAAAAGATTGAGAATAACTTATTTGTTATATGCGTCCCTCCACACACATCAAACCTCAAAATCTTCTGTATGTCCGTAAAATACTTACTTACTATGTTTATTTTATTTTATATTTTATAAAAAAAATACATAATTTTCATATATATATAAATAATACTCCAACTTAAATTGAAAGAGGTAAATATCATATATTATTTTCAGATTTTACAAGAGTGTGTGTATATATATTATATTCTAAATTTAAATTAAGAAAACCATTGATTTTGGAGCGACATATATCACTTTATGTTATTTTTTTATTGTTATTATGTTGTTTATTTCGTCGTTTCCTTTTATTCGCACCCCGCTTTTGAGATACCACACGCCTTGGCCTCTTATTTAATGCACCAAATATAAAACCAAGGAAAACCCTCAAACCGGGCTACAGAGAGACGGGAGACTGGAGACGATATCCTCAAATCCTCGCTGCGAATCGCCGATCCCTCCCGCGCCTGCTCGGCCGGCGGAAACCCTAAGGACTCGCCGCCCTCGACCGTTCCCGCCGGCCGCTCAATCCGTCCCCAAGAACTTACCCCGTTCCGTCGCATCTCCTCTCGCGCAGCTCTCCTGGAGATCCCTCCCTCCGTTTGCCGTTCGCTTCACTCCCTCTTCTCTCCATCTCGTTCGGAGTCGGATCCTCTGACGGTGCGCCCCGGATTTTGGAATCTGCGCTGCTCTCGCGGTTTCTTGGGCTCCAAGACTGGGATACTTTCCTCCCTTGTGGAGGAATGTGGCAAGGTTGGAGGTCTTGATACGTTTCGGAGCGTTCGGTGAGTCAATTTGGTGATCATAATCCAACGTAAGTTATCATTTCTTTGTTCTTCTTATCATGTTTTCCTTTTTGCTTGTTGATGCTAGCGAAATTCCTGTGCTATTCAATAGTCGTGACATTGTCAGGGTTAGATATCTGTTTAATTGCCAGATGCCTTGTATCCTCTAACATTGTTCATTCTGGAATGAATTAATCACTTAAGATGGTGGTAATATATATCTATATATTCTGGTTTGAGATGTTCCAATATTCTTGGATGAAACATGTAGCCATTTGCTTGCTACCACCACGATTATATTGCTATTAGTATTGTTCTGAAATCCAAATGTATTATAATGCGAAGGTCTAGATCGTGCATGTGGAGCCTTTTTGATGCTTCCTGTCAACGGAACGTGTGGGATTTATGTAGGGATGATTCCTTGTCTCTTACGAGTTGCTAGCTTCTGAAATATGGACAGACTTTCCATATTTTTACTTCTCTGTAATGTATATGCCTATCCGGATTGAAAATGATGGTTCAGTTTAAGGATAGGCTGGTTTTCTTTTTTCAACCATTTAAACCCAACTGATGCAACCTGGAGGTTTCTTGATGAACCCTGGATAATCGCTAATTAGTTTGATGGAATCAGTTTATATTGCCTAGTCCAGGGGAGGTTTGAGTTTAATTTGAGTTGTCTTTTGGTTTGTTGAGGGCTCTTAATCTAATTACTTCAGATGCCATGTATGACAGTTTGTGTTATTCTGGAGTTGCTTAGAATTTGAGGTGTTCAGTTGGTTTAGATGGAAGAGCTGTGATTGGTAAAATCTTGCCATTCTTGTAAGCGCCAATACATTGAAGGCTTCACAAAACTTAATAGTCTACTCAAGGATGGCTAACAACTTTTGGGTGTCAGTAATTTTCCATATTGCATGTTTGTAAATTCAATTTTGTTGCTTGTTTTCTTGGTCAATGATATTTGGTTATTGTGATTAGGGGTGTATTATGGTTTCATAATTAAATAAATAAGAAATGGTAAATATTATACAACTCAACCTGCTAAGGTACTCAAGCTATAGTGGGATCACCAAGGTGAAGCTATTACCAGTGTGATGCTTAGACTTCATTTTTACTGCTGCAGCATTCATGTTGACACAACACATGGATGTTGGTACTAGATCTGGATTAGACTTGGCATAAATTGTCTACATTTTGTCGACTAATTCTGGCCACCATCTGATCGGACCTTTGCTGTGATTAAGAAGAAGATTTGTATCAATCACATGTTGCCAACCACGAGAGGAAGAGGAGAAGATGAGAACATGATGAAGTATCTTCTGTTTTTGTGCATCTTGCTGCAGTTGCTACTTGCTACTTTGCATTGTTGTCATTGTCACTCCACTCAGTTTCCCTGGCTTCACCAGTTTCCCTGGCTTCACCGTGTGGAGATACAATATGGAGGACAGGCATCCATTGATGGTGAAATTACTGTGGGACTGACAGGGAGCTAAATTCCATGAGCTAAGGGTTTTGAAGTCTAATTTTTAGTTCTTAATCCATTGGGACTTTCAATCATGTAATCTATTTGAGAATAAAAGAGGAGGAAAGAAAAAAAAAGAAAAAGAAAAAGAAGAGAAGAGAAAAAGAAAAGAAAGGAGGAAAAAGAAAACATACAAGGTCAAATAGGCGGAATAAAATAAGAGGAAGAGGAAGGAGAGGAGAACAAGGAGAAGTACCTTTATTTTTGTTGTTGTGGCTTTGTTTGTCATTGTTGTCACTCCACTCAGTGGCCTTTGCTTTGCTGTACAGATGTGAATGACCCAATGACTAAAAGGAAATTAACTTTTATGAGTTGAGGGTTTTGAAGTTAATCATGGATCTTATCATTTGGCCTTTCAATCGTGTCATTACTGATGAGAACAAAAGAGAAGGGAAGAGAAAATGACTTGATAATTATCAATGGATAAAGTTTCCCGTCCAAACAATTGGGACATGCTGGCACAACCATAGCATGGCAAAGTGATACTTAGTATGATACATATGATCTTGTATCTTATGGCACATTGGTGGCATGAGGAGCCAAAATTGACGTCCCAATGACTTCATGAGCTTGAGAAGTCTGGGGTCCCACTTGTAATGCACCTGCTATTGAAAGCCATGTTAGAATTTAGGGAAAACATAGCTTGAGTTAATAACATATGTGATAAGGTGTTTTTTCTGTTTCCTCAGTTGGACGTTTACTAAGCTGCTAATCCTATCATATAACAAAAAATGTTGCAACTTTAAACATCTTATAAGTTACCTTTTCATAACCTGCTCTTCCTTTTAGAGACTCAAAAAGTTAGATGTATTGGACTTTCTTGTTGTTAGCTTCCCCACCCTTTGAAACTGTTGCATGTTCTTCATTGGGCGAAATCTTTTGGTTTGGGAATTGGTTTGTGTTCTGAGGTTGCTTATTGTTCATGACTTGTTTATTTTACAGATGGTACCCTGAAGATGGCCCTTAGTAAATGCAAACCTTCTGGTGATGAAACTTCTGTCAGTATGGCACCTTTGGCATTTTCTAAAAGGGCACTTGAGAAGGTCAATCCTGTCGGGCAAAGTATGACATCCATGTCATCATCCTTCCCAGCGGTGGCTGATGTAGATATTGACATTAGGGAAATTTACTTCCTGATCATGCATTTTTTATCAGCTGGGCCATGTAAAAGGACATATGGACAGTTCTGGAATGAGCTTTTGGAGTATCAACTTTTACCTAGAAGATACCATGCGTGGTATTCACGTTGTGGTGCACAAAGTGGCGATGAAGATGATGATGGCATCTCGCTGCCTCTTTGCTATATCAAATTGGCCGAAAGGTACATGATGCTACTGTTCATATCTCCACTTGTTTATTCAAATGGAGTCTATGAATGCATGACTTAATTCATGTCACCACCACTTTTTTTTTTTTGGATTTTTCTTAATCAAAGCGCTTAAGATTTTGTTTTGTACTATTCTAGTATCCCAAGTGATCATGGTAATCCTTGTTTCCCTCACTATAATAGTGAGTGTTTGTCTTGATTTGGATATGAAAGCTATCAACCGTATATGTATTATCCTACTGTAAGGTTGTTGCTGTGTTTGAATTTCCTAAACTGCATTTCTGAATCCTGATTCTCTAACATTTTAGCTGCTACCTTGAGAATGTACATGCATATTATTGCTGCTCCCCTTTTGAAGTGATGCAATTATATATAATGAGACTTCTTATGATTTGAGCCAACTTTAGGTAACACTTTTAGTTGTAGAACCTTAAACATGTCTTAAATATCTGTCATTATTGTAGTTTGTTGATGCTGCATTTTTCTTATTTTTGGGTCCCATGATTAAGTTGTTGTCATAACTCATTAGTCATAAATACTCTTTATCATAAACAAACAAATGACATTCATTATATTATCACTTTCTGAAGACATCTTAGCAAAATTCTCTAAAATGGGATAAAAAAGAAAAGCAATGAAGATTTACTTTGAAGTTTCCCTTCTTTAACAAGATGATTTAAGCTACAGGTCTTTAGACTAGGTTAGGGAGTTTTTGCATGTCAAAGTTTTCTCTCACCCAATTTATTTCTGTTTCTCTCTCTCTCTCTCTCCCTCTTTCGTAATTCCTCTCTCTTGATCCATCTCCTCATACTCTAGGGTAGTTAGGAGATATTAATATTGTATATTTTGTTTATATATAATGATGGCTTTAAATATTGGTATGTAGCGGTGTACCTACACATGATGCTTCAGTGAGTGACACTGATGAGGAGGGTGAGGAGAAGGGGGAGGGGGGTGGGAGGAGAGAGAGTCATTAATGTAAAGATAGCAATGACTGTCAAAAAAAAAAGATCTGGTAGAGGCTAGAGAGATAAGTTAGAGATCCTGAAGTGGGCAGTAATCCAGTTTCTGCATGTTACCTGACAGTAACTTGCTATACCATATATTCTAGGAGTGACATCATGCTAGTGCTTCCACCTCCTTATGGCTTTCATTTCATTTGGCGAGTGAGGCAAGGGGCATGGTGCAGTTGTGTGCTTAGCTTGCCACTAGCTTGGTTGCATATGGGTAGTATCGTTTATCTGGTTGTTGTTTCTTGCTTTCTGTTGGTTCCAGTGTAGCATCGATACAATTATCAGATATGATTCTTTCTTTCTGTTGGTTGCAGTGCAGCGTCAATACAAATATCAGATATGATTTAACACGATAGTGGATGAGCCAGAATGTCATTTCTTTTGAAGTATAATCTTTTGCAGAATGGATTTATGGTTATAAGATATGTTTATTTAATAGAATATGATATGATGAATCTTGTCTGTTTTTTATATATATGGATTATGTAGTTGCACATCTTATAAATGGTAATTACTAGATAATGTGTACAACTGATATACTCACCTAAAATTTTTGTTTAATATCTATGTGATCCTCTAAAAAGGTAGAGAAAACAAGTACTTTGGCATATTTTGACACTAGAGAGATATCTGACATGTATCTGGGAAGTATCTCATTAACATCTAATGTCTCTTGTATGGTATGACAGGCATTTAACTAAACATATTTCATTGTTTGCTTGGATTGGAAATATTTATATTTGGGAAGGAATAGTCTAAGCATAGGTTATCAATCTTGCTTTCATATATAATTGTTTCTTTTGAGTTTACCCTTTATAATGAATTTAACATCGCATGCTTGTTTCAAAATTGAATTTCAACTTTGCTGATATTTGTTTTGAACCAGAACATTTGAAGTTATTCTCTATAAAATGGATTTTCCTTTAAATATTTTGCTAGGCAAATTAGTATACTTTTGGAATACATGAATAATGGTGCACTTATGTATATTTCATGTTAAGAATATGCCGTCCATGCTACAATTTGCCAAAACTAGTAGATTTTGCTTTTTGTCACTGCACATAAAACTGTTGATGTTTTTGCAACTTTACGTACCTATTTTAGAATTTTAGTTATTTGTGTTCTTTGACAAGCTAACTGTCGTACGTTTCCTAATTTCTGTAACTTACTGCTTGTTCTTTCTTAGGTATCCACACATTGAAAAGGATCACTTAGTAAAACTTCTGAAACAATTGATTCTGAATTCTAGTCATTTGCCTGGAATGGGCAGAGGAGCTCCAAGTGCTGCTGATGTTCCTACACTTCTGGGATCTGATTCCTTTTCTCTTCTTGCATGTATGAAACCTTTCTATTCTTCTTTATGATACAGTGTCTGAGGTTCTGGTTCATCTTTGATCAGATAATTGCCAATACATCAAGTTAATGTTCATTTTCTCCTTTTGTTCTTGATAAACCTTTTTCTTGTTGTCGTAGGCTGCATTCTGTTTTGCTTTCCTCTTTATTGCAGTTCTCTCACCCTCTCGATTGTGCTTTTACATCGCAGCTGATATGGATAGAGGGAATAAAGGAGCCAATAAGTTGCCGAGTTATTTGCGTTGGCCACATATGCAGGCTGATCAGGTCCATGGGTTAGCTTTTAGGGAGATAGGTGGTGGTTTCACAAAGCACCATCGAGCTCCATCCATTCGTGCAGCATGTTATGCCATTGCTAAACCATCAACTTTGGTGCAAAAAATGGAGATCATAAAGAAGTTGAGGGGACATCAGAATGCTGTCTATTGTGGTATCTTCTGTTCACCTTCTATTATATTTTAACAACTTCAGTTTCAGTCTTTCATAATTTTATGATCATTGTAAGAGTAGTACGGAGTGCAACATAAACATTACATTTTAGCGTTTGAGTAACTCTGCATAGGCAGCAGATAGTGCTGACTACATGCGACTCAGAAGAGTTTTGGACTTATTGTACTATGAACCAAGGAGTCAATTTCAACTAGTTTGGTTTTTACTGACTGTTATTTACTGATCTGAGTCCAAATCAAGACGCTGACCGTTCAAAATCCATCCTAATAAAATAAAGGACTCCTTTCTTCAATACACATGGAGCTTACAATCCTGTTCTTTGTACCTGTAACCTGTCACCTACCTCCTCGCCGCCCACCATGTCGCCAATCTTGGGTATGCTTCCTTCTTTTTTCCTCCCCCTTTTCATCCTCATTCACTGTTCCTACACCACTTCGTCTTTTTTCTTCTTCTTCCTTCCTCTTGCTCCTTCTTCCTCTTCCTCCTCCATCGCCTGCCCTTCCTTTTCCTTCTCCTCCACTGTCTCATCCTCTTCCTCCACAACCTCTTTTCCTTATTTCCTATTCCTCCTTCCTTTTTCTCCTCTTTCTTCCTCCTCTTCGTCGTCTTCTTCTTCTTGGTACATACTACTGTACCATTTGTGGTACACCAGTTGGTAGGACCGGTACTGTATCCTGGTACAAAATTATAATCCTTGATATGAAGTTATGAACTATATAGTTTTAAGTCAATTTGTGCATTGACTTGTGATATAGAGTTTACATAGGGCCTTTAATGGTTGAACTTTGATTGTTTAGGAAGGAGTTGCAGAACAAAGGTTATGAGGTTTTCATATGAGAAAACCATTTTCTTTATTTTATGTTTTTTTGTTGACTAATATGTAGTGATTACAATAGGCGCTCGGGCGAGGCGAGGCCCGAGCGCCTCACTTCATTTCCAGGTGGTGCTTTTCAAAGAGGTGTCGCCTGGGCGCTTCGGGCGAGCGCCTGGGTTAAACCAGGCGACCGAACTAGATTTTTAGGTCTGGTTGGTCTCCGGTGCTTTAGTTGATTCAATCGAACTAACTAAATCACCGATATCAGGCTCCCTCTCGCGATTTCTCCGACTTCCCCAACCCTAACACTCATGATTTTGCTGCCGAGATTTCTTCTCCGTTGTCGCTGCTCTTTGCTGCCGCTACCACTGTCGTCGCTACTGTCGCTACTCGCCGCTGCCACAATCGTTGCTCGCCGACTGCTCGCCGCTGCCACAATCGCTGCTCGCTGTTGCTGTCGCCACTCCCACTGTCGCTTGTAGCTCCCGCTCCCGCTCCTGCTCCAGCTACGGTTGCCTGAGAAGCCTTGGTCTTCTCATACTCTTCTCACTATACTGTTAACAGTATAGTAACAGTATACTGCTAACTATATACTAATGATAGTATTTTTATTTATTAGATTAATAATATATTATTTTGATTTTAAAACTATTAATTTTTATTTATTTAAAATTATTGTTAGGTTTCAAAATAAATGACAAGTGTACATAGCAAGGTTCGTAATACCGTATCGGACCGGTGTTTCGACCTGGGCTCGGTACTGGTACGGTACGGTATATCGAGCGGTACACCCAGGTGTACCGAGTGGTATACTCAGGTGTGCTGAGTAAGAGCTACAGTGCTACAGTGCACTCGGACCGGTAACAGGCGGTCAGCGTACCAGCAACCTATCGGATCGGTACGTACCGCCCGTATCGGGCGGTACAGTTCGGTACTGCAGACCATGGTACAGAGCAACTCAATAGATTTGATGTAAAATTTATTGTTTTGATTTTTGAGACTTTTTTATTAATGTGACATTGTGATTTTGTACATGATTTTCTTAATTGAATAGCATATTTTTATTTAAATAATTATATTTATTAATTATATTATATATTTTTATATTTTAGCGTCTCGCTTCGCTTGGGTGAGCGCCTAGCACCTCGGGCGTTTTTGGACCTGGGCGCCTTTTGGTACCTAGCGCTTTTTAAATCACTGCTAATATGTAGAAGGGAGTGTTGAAGCACTGTTAGTTTCCTTGTATGCAGGATTAGTGGTATTCTATTTGCTAAATTCCATCTTGAGTTGTTGACAAATAGGTATCTTATTTAGATTTTACTTATTTGGTCTAATTGCAAGGTCACAGACACATCTTGTCTGTCTTAAGTTGTTTTGAAATCTAGGAGTGCGTCATACATTTTAGTATTTCGAGTATTCAGACTCACAATACACAATCTTTTATCACCATTTGTACTATTCTGTAGTTGCAAGACTATTTTTCTCTAGCATTTATGTTTAGTCTTCTTTGATTCAAGGAGAGTGTGTTATATTTGACAGTCATTTTGGTTTTAGATTAATCTACTCATGTTTCTTGTAAAAACTTGACTTTTCCGTTATTATGTCCTAGGTAGATCATATCCCATGAATTAAGAGTTCTGTTTAAACATACTGGGATCCCTTTACTGGTGTCACTAATAGCAATTACAACATATTGTGTTACCCGCAGACTATTCTAATATATAGGTTATCGAGTTTCATAAGGCTTTTGATTAAACAAACCCAGGTCTTATATTGCCTGTGGACCAAATACGTATCTTGAATATCAAGGATCTGATTACTGATGATAATTCTTGAAGTCACCCTGAATCTGTTGGAGTTGCTCTAAACTGACTAGATATGACTGGGAATTGATGGGATTCAGTTGGGATTGCTTCTGTCCAATGGAGATCTGACCAGTTGATCATCCAGTTTCTCAGTTAATTCATCCTCATCTGATTCATGAATGGTGCTTACTATATGTTTTTCTTGGTCTTGATCAATTTAAGCACCCAAAGATCAACAAAGTTAATAAATTAGGTATTCCGATTCTCTTTTTTGATTTCCTAAAAGTATATTTGAGCGCTTATGTTAATATGGTTCATTATGATCTTGGATACTTTTTTATCTACCATTATTGCCTGTAAATTTGAATTAGATTGGTAGGATACAGAGAGTTCACCAATGCTATTTTGTTCTCTCTATGCTTATGCATTCTAAATGTTACTTGACTGACATTGATTGGGACATATAAGATTAATTGCTTCATCCGTTAAGCCTCATTTCTTGATTTCCTGTTTTCCTTGGTACTGAGTTGGTTATCACAAAAAATTTGAGGCCTTTGTTTCTGGTTGCTTTAATTATATGTGCTATGGTACTTGTTATTGTGACTTTCTGTGTTCTGGCAGTTCTGATGATCCCCTCCATACTTGATACTTCTTTTGTTTCACATATCATTTCTTCAAGTTAGAAATTCTTTGGTCAATTTTGTCATATTACATCGTGCAGTATAATGTCTTGTGAACATTCATAATTGTAGCTACCTTTGATCGTTTGGGGCGGTATGTAATAACTGGGTCAGATGATCGCCTTGTTAAGATCTGGTCACTGGAAACTGCATTTTGCCTGGCCAGCTGCCGTGGACATGAAGTGAGTCTTAGATGGTGTATTAATGTTTTTCACCGTTGCCTGTCAGCTTTTCATTGTTTTTCCATTCCCTTTCTCTTGATTATCATTCTTTATTCTGGTCGACATTAATGAAGGGTGACATAACTGACCTGGCTGTGAGTTCAAATAATGCTGTGGTGGCATCTTCTGCAAATGACTCCATCATTAGAGTGGTCGGTCTATTATCTTTTGATATGCAGATGTTGTAAAGGTTTTGATCTGATTTGCCTGTATTTTTCTTCCAAGTTTTGATAATTTTGGCTTATCAATGCAGTGGCATTTACCTGATGGCCACCCAATATCAGTGTTGAAGGGACATACTGGAGCTGTGACTGCCCTTGCCTTTAGTCCAAGACTTTCCTCTGTTTACCAGCTACTTTCGTAAGTGTTCTGACATTCAATTATTTATATTTTTATTTATCAGTTGGTTCCTTTGGTATTAAGGAGTGTCCATTTGTGGGTTTTTAAACTTTATTATTGCTTATGCAACTTGCAATATGATCTCAAACTTCTAAATTTGTTCTCCTTTGTTTTCTTTTAAACTGCAGAAGTACTCACTACTCAGTTTATGTTATGCTATGGTCTTTTTGGTTGATGAATAACCTTCTGGTTAAATTATGTAGCAAAAACTGTAGATAGTTGTTGCATGTATATGTTTGGATATCTTATTACTATTAGAATTCCTACAATTTTAAGAAGACAATTGACATTTTTAGGATTGCTGGCTACTGCCAGGAAGTAATGTTGCAATTCTCCCATTGAGATTTTGAAAATTAGAGCCTTGATATGACTTCAATATGAAGTATTATATTTACATTTTAGTGTGATCAGTAATTAGCTGCTTGTTTAATTTGGGAGCTAAAAATCTTGAGTACATACTAATAACTATCTCCTTGATTCAGACTTCAGTGCCTGATGTAACAATTCTGGTCTTGCAATGTTGGTCATTACTTATTGAGAAACTTCTTTATTGCCGGACTTGCCTCAAGATTTTATATTAACTTTTCTAAAAGCAAATCTGATTTTTATTTTTAACTGATTTGGATTCTTGCTGGCATTTTGGTCGGATTAGTATCATCCCATGAAAATTTATGAATTAGGATCATGGCTGGAAAAGCAAATTTCCTTCTTTTGATGAGTGACTTCTGCTGGTAGATTCCTAGCCTCCCCATACATTATATGCAATTCTCTTACCAAATTGGTTAATCAAAAAGCTTTAACCTATTAGAAGATCCTTCTTACGGACAGAGAAAAGACGTTCTTGATGGTTACTGTTTACTAGTTACATCCTAGTTTCTAGCCTATGAAAGAAATGAAGAGGTTGGGGTGGCCCTACATGGAAATGGTGGTGGCAAACTTCATTCTAGGGATCTTCTGTGGGTTAGCATGTTCTTTTGTATAAACGTTTCCGGAAAATTAAACTTCATTTTATATGTTCATGTATCAACTTTGGGTGTCTGTTTTGCAGATTTGACAGGATTATTTGGAATATATATTTTTTTAAAACTAAAGTGTGTATGTGGTTTGTTGCCAAAGAAAAAAATATTGGTTGATCTTTTGGTTAAATTGAGCCAAGGTTTTAAAAAACAGTTTATGTGGCTGCTTATGTAGATGCAGTGTGGCTATAAAACCTCACTTTTTATGATATATGTGGCAATAATATTTGCAGCTTGCCCTTTTTTTTAAATAGGATTTTCTGTGAGTAATAGTTTATTGGTAAGTTCTATAAAGTATAAACTCATAAGTTCTATAAACTCACATTTCGAGTAGATGAGTGGATCATGTCTCCATTTTCATTTAATGTAGTAGAATTTGACCTGTTCCATATTAAATTTGCCTGTTTAGAATTAACAATTCTATTTTATTAGTTTCACATTTATAAATTTGACAATATTGTATGCTTAGTCATGGTCAGATATATTTTGCCATCATACTAGATCCTTTGTAGTTAATTTTTTTGTCTTCTCAATGTTGACTGCTCTACTTCAATAGAGTCTCATGTGCCACTGTATATTACTTGTGCACAATGTTGAAGCCTAATCACCTATATAGTGTTTTTTTCTTTTTAAAACTACAAAATTGGTTGGAATGAAGACCTTAAAACTCTGAAGTATATGGTATTCATGTGTTGTTATTTAACATCAGGTGGATAATGGAAAGCCCACTGACAGAGTGGATCTAAGTTGGGCTAAGCAGCATTTTGTTGCACTTGTAGGCAACACCAACTTTACCATGAACCCTAACTCCTTATCATTTGAGACCAAAAATCTCATATACTAGACTTATCGTGGTATGTAGTGACAGCTTGGTGTGCTATGGCTCAATGCATCAATAAAATCATAGTAAAAACTAAAAAGTTGTTTAATATGCTGGTACCAACTAGAATAATCTATCAGCCTGGTGCAATCCATATGATAGGTATACCTATTGTATCAAAGCTGCATTAGCACACTACTGTTCAGAGCTATAATAATTTGGGGCATCTGTCCTCTTCTCACCCATCACTTTTTTTGTCCTAATAGATCCTTGTAAATAGGTGGCAGATAGTAATGCAGGATAAATACTTTGATACTAATATTATGCTGCAAAGATGCATGGATCTTTAAGCAAACAAAATATTTTAAGATTTGATAGTTTTGTAATAAATAACAGAAGTTATTAGATGAGACAAAATATAATCACCAGACCCAAAGATTGCTATTTCGGGTATCGGACCCATTCGGGTGATATGGTCGGACCAGTATACCGGTTAGTATCGGTGTACCATATGGTACACTGGTACGTATTGGTGTTTTGGAGAGGAAGAAGAAAAGGAGAAGAGGAAGGGCGGGTGGAGGAAGAAAGGAAGAGGAAGAAGTGATGTTGGCATCAGCGTTGTGAAGCAGCGACAGCAGTAGCGGCGTTGTGGAGGAGCGGCGACGGCAGTGGCATCACGAAACAGCGACAGCGGCGTTGAATGTGAGAAGAGGGGTCATGTTTGTGAGCCCTAATTCCTATTTTGGGGTTTTTTCTTTTTTTAATTCTGAGTTGGATGGCCCCATTGATATTTTCAGTTTTTTTTTTTTACTGAATTGGACTGGGCCGCTCCAAAAGTGGATGGTCTGCATACCGGCCCATGCCCACAGAGGTACATACCGCCCGTTTTGTACCATTTTGGATGGTGCAACAATCCTTGATCAGATCCAAAAGCACATTTTCATTCATGCGACCATTTTATGATGTTTCTGGTTACATCCCTTTTCCCCCTTTTATAAGCTTTCAAGGGTAGCCCTATGCAAAAAAAAAATAAAAAAAAATCAAGGTGAGTCTATTAAATTTTGTTTAAAATAATGTGCTTGATTTTTTTTTATAGTGGAGTTAACTCAGTTGATATTAATGTTTTTAAATGTTGTCTACAAAATTGTTTTGATCTGGAGTTTTTTCAGTAAGATGATGTACTTGAAATTTTATGTGGAATATCCATTTTTTTCATATACATATTAGTTTAATACAATTTGTTTGTGAAAAAATAATACAGTTATTCTCTTTGCCTTTGGTATTGCCTATTTTTTTATTCTATATAACAAACCTGATTGGTCAGATCCTCTGATGATGGAACATGCCGTATCTGGGACGCTAGGCAGTCTAGTGCCAAGCCGCATATTTACATACCAAAGCCTCCAGATACTCTAGCTGGTTAGTTTGTCATTCATTATTTGTGGTAAATTTATTGCTTAATGTTTGCTTAATTTTGGAAGTTGAAGTTGGAAGTGATGAGACAAATGCCAGGAAAGAGCACTGATCCCACTCCTACTGTTGGGCAACAAACACATCAAATCTTGTGCTGTGCATTCAATGCCAATGGAACTGTATTTGTCACTGGAAGCTCGGATACGTTTGCTCGGGTATATCTTATGTTTCAGTTGCTTTTTCTAAGTTTGGTTTCTCAAATTACTTTTTAAGAGTTCTTTTATAGGACCTCATTTGCAAGTTCTCCAGGTATGGAATGCTTGTAAGATCAACACTGATGACTCCGAGCAACAAAACTATGAGATGGATCTTTTGTATGGCCATGAGAATGATGTCAATTATGTGCAATTTAGGTGAGGTTTATTTCCTCAAATTGCCTTAATGGTCTTGCTATTCTGATTATTTTATTTCTCTTCATTCAGTGGCTGTGCAGTGAGGTCTAGATCTTCTATAGGTGACTCTTCAAAGGAAGATAATCTTCCAAAATTTAAGAACTCCTGGTTAGTAACTATTTTTTCCCACTGACATTTAGTTTATTCATTAGAGGAAAAGTTAATAGTGGATTCTTAATCTTGTAAGCTGACATAGGTTTGATTGCTTCTAGTTGATTAAGTGATGCTATACATATTAATTGGGAGATTATATGTTTGCAGGTTCACACATGATAATCTTGTTACCTGCTCTCGTGATGGTAGCGCGATTATTTGGATTCCAAGATCCCGACGATCTCATGTGAGACAAATCATAATCAGGCATTTTTGAACTCCAAATCTTATTTATATGATCAATGAATTTGTTGTCTTGCATAGGGAAAAAGATCCTCATTAGTCCTAGCTTCAATTTTCAATTTTCTCTTCATTTCATTGGAAATATAAAAATTCTCTATGACATATAAATATTCAGTTTTGGGTATCACTACTTGGTTTAGTCTGTCTCATAGGGTATTCATTTTTCATTTAGATATCATAAACATTTGATCATTTGTCTTCTTTCTGGTAAATAGTGAGATGTTAAAACCAATTTGAGTTTCATGTGTGGGTATCAAGTGTGGAGTTTTAGACAATGAAATTAGGATTTAGCCTGTATGAAGGAAATGTACTAAGCCAAAGCTAAATAAATATTATAAGTTTGACATGTAAATTTTAATAAACTATTATCATATCTGGGGCATGCAATTGCATATTTAAGTTTTCAATGCTATTTATAGGTTAGATAATGGAAATCCTGTTCTTACATGAATATAGTAACGAGGTATATATTAAGCATGCATCATTTTCAAATGTAGGATTTTGCTTACTAGTTGGAGAAATTATCTTCATCTTTGTTTATTAATTTATTATGTTACAAATTATTTAACTTGTAGATCCCAATAATTAAAATGAAAATAGCTGTATCTTGTGCATGGTGAGGCCATTAAGTGACTTCTTTGGAATTTTGCATGACTGCATCAAAGCAATGTTTCATTTTTGGGATGAACCATTTTTTGTAAATTAGCCATCGAGGCGAGATTATTAAAAATATGAAGAAAAAGCATAAAATAGCATGTTTGGAAATCCCAAATCAGTGGACTTTTCACTTAAAATGTGTAAATATCGGCTGCCAACTAGTTCAGTCTAAGTTGCTTGCAACAACAAAAACTACTTGAAACAAGTTGTATTTGTCTGAAATGAATTTTGAACTGCCCTATGTCTTGAATTGTGTTGAAAATATGCAGTAGCAGTCTAGCAGAATATTTTTGCTAATATCCTTTCCCTTTTATGACTAATTTACACCAAGCATGCATATTTGTTTGATGCAGATCAGCTGTTTTTTGTTTTAAAATATTGGAAAAATAAAAAATGTAAGGACTGACATTAATCAAAAGCTATAGTGGACACGGAACGTTGTACGAGGCTACTTATGTTTTACATTAGAAATGTGCGAGTAGATGTCGCTACTGTTTCTATGCTTTTTCTTTAAATATGGCTTTATTATCTAGTTTTTGGTAAAACATATGAATCAGAATGGATATTTATCCATGCTTCCTTTGAGTGATTGAGTGGTGGAAGAACGATTTTGTGGGTTTAGCATTTGTGGACATCATGCGGGACTCAACTTGAGACAACCTTACCTCTAAAATAAGGACAGAAAAGATTAATTTATTAAAAATTATTAGTCTTCATGAATTTACACTTGTATTTTTATTTGATTCTACTAAAACTCAAATGGGTAATTAATCATTAAAATAAATTATTGAACCTTGAAATAGAATATTTTTTTGCCTTATGGATATATCTTTTAGCAATCATTTTTATATTGCTTCTGTTCCTTTTTTATGTTAGGGAAAAGTTGGACGGTGGACTCGTGCTTATCATCTTAAAGTTCCTCCACCACCCATGCCTCCTCAACCTCCTCGTGGGGGTCCACGCCAGAGATATCAACCGACTCCTCGAGGTGTTAATATGATAGTCTGGAGTTTGGATAATCGATTTGTACTTGCTGCTATCATGGGTATGTTCTATTCCTCCTTGTTTCTTAAGGGTGTATAAGTTCTCCGTTCTAGATTTTCAGTATATATGTTATTTTTTAATTCGTATTCATTCTTGTAGACGTTGTTTGTGATTATGTTCAGTATATTAGGTATCATGTGCATCCAGTCATAGGTTGGCAGTGTATGCCATATGATGACCTTTTTGTCCCATGGTTTGGCCTTCTGTATCTGGCAGGTGTGGAGCATCTGCAATGCACACCTGATAGACAATGCTGTTTCATTAGATTGGCTGATACAAACCACAGTAATGTAGTATTTCAATCCAAATCAACCAGTATTGTACAATGTTCCTCCAACAATCTAGCTTAGAAATATAACTTGTCAAATTGTCAGCCTTGGAATTCAGAGTCTTATATATTTAAATTTATAGCTTCAGCATGTTTATCTCGATTAATTCTGTGTGGTGCAAATTCAAGCAACTCTATGTGGTGTCTGAAGTTATTAGAAATTTATCGTTGGTACTTACCAACAAGTGGTTTGCTTTTATGCTGTGTTATGAAGAATGTTTAAATAAATGGAGTATGACCATACGAAAACCTTTTACCAAAAAGTTCTCATAGTTCTTTTGATTTTGTTGGTGGTCCATAACTCTATGTTAATTAATGTTCAATAGATGTTGCTGATTTTTTATTAATCTCGGTTGTTTCATATCTATCATTTTCTTGTTCTTTAATCTGTGCAGTATCCTTGTCCTTGCGCTATATGTCTGCAGTACTAATTTTCTTCTGAAATTTGACTTAATTTTTCCATTCTTAGTCTGCATTATAATTCAATAGGATTTACAAATAGTTTTGCTGTTTTGGTTTATAAATATAAATTGTTTTCTTCAGATTGCAGAATATGTGTTTGGAATGCTTGTGATGGAAGCTTAGTTCATTCACTGATTGGCCACAAGGATTCTGTATGTATCATGAACTCTGTCTTTTCTCTTTAAATATATATATTTTTAATAATTTTAAATATGATACTTGTTATGGTTTGATTCTCTCAAGGTACATATGCATATTTAATTGTCTTGAATAATGTATCTGTTTTACCTAGTTGTTATCCATGTGCGTACATCCTTGTGTATGCTCATGCTTATTGGAAAGCAAAACATCAAAAGTTTGTAAACCTCTTAAGCAAAATTTTAGGGTTCAGGTCAATTTTTTTCTATTAAGGTTATCCTTTCGATGCCTCAATAGTGATTTTCCTAGAAAATCCTTTCATTAAACGACTCTTGTGTTTATTAGAACTATTTTGGTGAAAGGGTAATGATATTTAACTTTTATCTTTATACGAAAAGGTGTCTAAGAGGTTTCTTGATAGGGATTTATCATGTTGCAATTTGTGTAATTATTGTACATTTCCAACATGGTGAACTTTTTGCTTGAGTTTGAGATTTTCTACATGATTAACTATGAGATTTTGATATCAATTTCCTTTTTAGAATGGGACCATATGGTGTGGCATATAATAATTTGATGGTAACATGTGTTTTATTGTATTGTCACGAACCTAGTTGGTTTTGCCTAAGTCGTGCGACACCCTTGCATGTCCGTCCGTAAAGGTCAGCCTCGAAATCTTCTATGGTCCCTTAGGACCTACAAAAGAGAAAACGGGTTAGAGAAAGTGTTTCACTCGGGATCCACAAGCAACCATTTCAGCAAACACTATAACCAATGTAAATTACAATCATAGACTTCAGAAGCTCTGAACGGTCGCACAACAAAGAGTCCAAAATGGTTCACTACAGATCGAAATGCCCACAAGTGCCCACATGACACAACCTTCATTTACAAGCCTAAAGCGGCCACTAAAGCCAACCAAAATGGGGTTGGTAAGCCTATTGTCAGCCCTTTACATGTTGTTCAAAGCATGAAAAAAATCGAAAGACACAAACATATATGAGCATTATATTAAACACCTCGTTTACAATTTTGTCCGTGGTATTCTCCACTTATTTGTTTGACGTTCTCATAAAAGCCTTTGTAGAGGCTGTATCTCCCTACCTTTTGTTGAGTCTTCAATCATTTGCTCTAGCTGCAATGTGCCTCTTGGCTCCTAGCTGCATTCCGTCATTGTTGTTGAGTAGTTGAACTTTGATTCGTCATGTTGTTTTAACTCACCAATAACCTGGTGTGGGGTCAGTTGAGTTATGTTGATCATTGTTGGTTCCTGCGGATTCTTCAAATGAAGGAAAAGACCTTTCTTGTTATGCACTAGTCTCTCGAACGACTCATGTCGCTTGAACTGGGTGGATGCCTGTTGGAGCTTTAACGAGCATCGCCTTGCAGACTTTGAAGTTTTTTTTTGGGTCTATCTTTCGTAAAATTTATCTATCGATTCTTCTTCCACTTAGTTGTCACTTCCAAGTAGGTTCGCATCACTTCAACTTTCGATTGACATTTTGTTGGGAAATAAAGCGGATGATCTACTCTCAATAGCACCAGTGATTTAAAAAGGCGCTCGGGCGCTCGCATAGGCGCTCGGGCGAGGCGAGGCGAGGCCCGAGCTCCTCGCTTCATTTCCAGACGGCACGCTTCAAAGAGGCGTCGCCTAAGCGCTCGCCCGAGCCCAGGCGCCGGGCGCTTCGGGCGAGTGCCTGGGTTAAACCAGGCGATCGAACCAGCGGTTTAGGTCTGGTTCGGTCTCCGGTGCTTTAGTTGGTTCAATCGAACCAACTAAAGCACCGATATCAGCGCGACTTCCCCAACCCTAACCCTGCTCGCTGTCGTTGTCGCCGCTCCCGCTGCTCGCTGTTGTCGCTACTGCTGCCACTGTTGCCGCTAGATTGAACCAACTAAAGCACCGATATCAACGCGACTTCCCCAACCCTAACCCTGCTCGCTGCCGCTGCTCGCTGCTGCCGCTACCGCTACCACTGTTGCCGCTCTCGCTACCGCTGCTCGCTTTTACCGCTGCCACTGTCGCCGCTCGTCGCTTCCGCTCCCGTTGCCGTTGCTTGTTACTGTCGCTGCCTCTGTCGCCGCTCTCGCTCCCGCTGCTACCGCTGCCGCTGCCACTGTTGTCGCTTGCTGTTGGCGCTCCCGCTTTTCTCAGCACTCTCGGTCTTCCCTTACACTTTTCTCCTGCTTTTAACTATATACTGTTAAAAGTACAGTATTTTGTAATACCGTATATTGTTAACTGTATATAGTATAACACTATTATTTTGATTTTAATACCATTAATTTTAATATTATTAATTTTTAGCGCCTCACTTCGCTCGGACGAGCGCCTAGCGCCCGGGCGTTTTTGGACCGTGGCGCTTTTGGTGCCTAGCGCTTTTTAAATCACTGAATAACATCGATCACCATTGGTGAGGATTTGATAACTATTGTCTTCCATTAGGTTTTCTTCAAAAGGTCTTTGAACTTGTGCAGAGCTCCTCTACTGGATAAATAAAGGAACTAGAGTACTCGGTTTCGCCCATTCTCTTAAGAGTTGAGAAAAGGTTTACTTAACTTCGCTCGTCTCCTCAAGGGTTATACTCAATGCATCAAGCTGGTTACTAGCTTTCGCCTGCTCTTTGCTCACACTTCTGAAGCACTTGAAGTGTTTGCACTTCTTGTGTTGAGTTAGTTATTGTGATTCAACTTCTTAATGCCATTGAACTTCTAGAATGCAAGAAGTTTTCACCCCCAACTTGGAGCAAGTCTAATAGTTTTGGTCGCCTCTAAGATTGTATTGTCTTCTCCATCATTTCTATCGCTTACTCCTCTATGTAGAAAAGGTACAACACCACGTACTCTTGGTCGAGCACTCTTGCATCGATCCGAAGTCCTCCACTTTCGACTATTTTGATGAGATGCTCGTTGAGATCGGTCTTACGAAGTTCCCTGGCCTCTGCCCTTTAGCCTTGTTTCGGTACTTGGAGTTTGCCTCTACATTCTCTACCTCCTTGGCCCTTTTCGTGACCAAGTGATCTCCCTCCATGAGAGCAAGGGATCGATAACTCCACAGAGTCCCACCTCTGCGGTACCATGGTATCGCCATGCCCATGACCCTACTATCTGTCGCTTCGCATCTGCATCCCTTGCTTCGCGATCGGTAGATCCGCCTTTGCGACACTGTGACATTCCTCTGAGTCCATCTCGATTCTAACCAATGCTTGGTTTTGGGTAGCTAAGTCCCTCTGGACTCATTGTCGCTTCTTTGCCCCTTTCGACCACCTGCTTCAACACCTCTGTGTTCTCTGAGCAGTTAAGGGCTCGCGTCAATGCATGGCCTCTGCTATCATGTTGTGGGCTCGCGCCAATTCTATTCTTCTTATATTTCTTGGTAGTAACGTTTGCTTATTCGGCTTTGTCTTCTGACTTGACGGGCTCCCTTAAGCAAATACGAGCTCTAGAGCAGTCTAACTCTCAAACCGCTTTGATCATATCTCTATATGATTAAGTCTCCCTATGGGACTCACTAGTACTTGCATTTGGAATTTTCCCTCGGTGGCACACAGTCCCTATATGCTGATAACCAAGGCTTTCATTTGATGCAAAATTCGATGCACGTACGGAAGACCTGCCTCTACGGTATCATGACATTCACTCCTTAAATCCATAGCCCTTTTTGTCGTCGTGTTGTTCACCGAAGTGGAGCTCCCAATAGCGCTCGAACATACCTTCGTATGATCCAGTCCCACGCGGGATTGGTCCCATATGTGTCGCATTGCCTCAGACTGTTCCACCACGACTGCTGCCTCATGTCACCACCTGGTGATATCTCCCTTGCATTCTGATCATTATGGGATGAACTTGGACTGCGATATCTTCGTGTGTGGACTCTACCAACATATTGTAGGGTCTTTGCTGCCTCCGATTGTGTTCATTCCTTTGACAATCGACCTTCATCCACCAGCTCTTGGGTCACACTAGGAGGAAGCACAACTCTAGGACAATCCGTCGCCTAGCAGCTCTCGAAGTCTATTGACTTTGCTGAAATTGGTGCATCATTGTCTGGATCTTGAGCCTTTGTCCCCACTAGCATAATCTCTGCTGCACATCGCTTTCTTCATGACAACTCAAATAGTAGCATTGTGGCATATTCTTCAAAAGTACCTACCTCTGCATCCTCTTGCCCCGTGCCAAGACTTTTTGGCCCCATCTTCGCCTCCACAAGTTGAGTCACCTTAGTTCCTCCGTCAAATGCTTCTATGAGATAAGGTGCACGTGCCTCGAAGCTCTGTTCATCTTTTTCACCATGCAAGATGAGTCCACTCTATTATAATGAGAGACTCATGGAACGACATGATCCCGCTCTTGCCTCTACAAGAGTCTGTATCCTTGACCTCTATCTAAGGAAAGCTTCGTGCCTCTGCTTCATGTTTCATTTTCTATGTGGACTCCCTTCATGCGACTTGGGTACTTCACCTAGTTACACCCAAATTGCTCTGCTCCTCGATTGACATTGAATTAATGGTGGCCCTCACACCCACCATTCCACGGGCCAGCCCTTCGTTGAGTTCGATTTTCACATCGACTCCAAGTGTGCTTTCATTTTGTGTTACCTTGGGTCGCTCCTCCACTTGATCTCACAATACATCCACCAACACATTACCTTATGCAAGATTATACGACAACTCATCGCCGCTTGCTCGGCCCGTTGAGCTTTGTGGAGTTATTGTCTTGAGGTACCCCCTCCACAACATGTGCGGTCCGTTGCACATGATTATCTCTTTGGAGAGCAGACTTATCCTACCTGAATATCTATCTCATTGGAGTAACTTCTCTATTTGTATCCTTCCCTTTAGAAGTTACATAGACCACTATCCCCTTAGACTACTCTACTTTGCCGAATAAACTGTGCATTGTTCTGTTCTCGCAAATGCACTTTCTAGATTGTGACTCTTTGCTAATACAGCCTGCGTTGCATCCCTCAAGGCCCAACAACATGTTGAATTTGCTGCACACTTCAGTCTCCTATAGATGTATCATTCTCATGCCGAAAAGAAAGTTCCAATGCTCCATGACGCCGAGTTTCGGTCGCTTGGGATGGCTACGAACATTTCATCGTCCGCATACAAGCCTTTGCATGAGTATCAAATTATTCGACTTAGCAATTCCTCTCACCTCTGTGTGCTTTGCACAACTCTTTCGGTCGCTGAGCAACCCATCCCACTTTGTACGGTCTCATCCTTTACCAAGCGCCCCGCTTGCCTTGAGCATCGTCAAGTTTGGTTGCCAACGTCAAGTTGTAGCTTGAACTTAACCATCCCAACCTTTGTTCACTACGTATTCTTTCTAACTTGCTTGTCCTCACGGTGCCTCTTGCACGAAGGGTTGACCATTCATCTGAATGCCAATCTTAGATGCCCACTCCTCTAAGCGACTCCTTTCCCTACATCTCAATGCCCAATTCCCCTAAATGGTCACGCGTGCTAGCTGCCCTCAACGCAGCCCTCAACGCAGCCCCACTAGGTCCTCCACGTTTGCATGCCAAGTGTTTCTATGTGTGCTTGTCCCGCTCTGATACCAAATGTCATGAATTTAGCTGGTTTTGCCTAAGTCGTGCGACACCCTTACGTGTCCGTTCGCAAAGGTTAGCCTTCTCGAAACCTCCTATGGTCCCTTAGGACTTACAAAAGAGAAAATGGGTTGGAGAAAACATTTCATTTAGACCCGCAAGCAACCATTTCAGCAAACACTTTATAGCCAATGCAAATTACAACCATAGACTTCATAAGCTCTGAACAGTTGGACAACAAAGGGTCCAAAATGGTCCACTACAGATCGAAACGCCTATAAGTGCCCACATGACACAACCTTCGTTTACAAGCTTAAAGCGGCCACCAAAGCCAACCAAAATGAGGTTGCTAAGTCTACTGTCAACTCTCTACATGCTATGCAAAGTATGAACAAAACCGAAAGAAACGGACATACATGAGCATTACATCAAACATCCCGTTTACAATTTTGTCTATGGCAGTATGGACTTGATTTTCCCCACATGTTGGAAACTTTTGAATATTTGGTATTGAGCCTTGTTTGATAATTTTCACTGTATCTTCTATGATCTTCCAATACCGATGATGCATAGAACCATCGAAGATGATATGATTATGCATGTTTACGTAGTTCCTTATAATTTGGTTTTACATGTTGTGTTTTTCCTATCCCTCTTAGGATATATGATTGGTTTACTGAAAGAGTCAAGAGATGATGAGTTCACTTGCTTGAATTCAGTAGCTTCAATATCATCCGTGTAGCCTATTGATACTTAGGTCTGTATCCTTTTCTTTAAGTGTCATGCAAGGACTTATCCATGCACATATGAAAAGCTATAAAGGTTGACTGGTATTTTCTAGTCAGACCAAGAATTGCCATCGGACCATATGGTCCAGTTTGGTTGGCTTTATTTTTTATTACTTTTTTTGGGTGATCGAGTCATTTTTTAAAATGCATATTTCATTTTTTTTCCTCTTTGGGTTGAACCTTAAGGCTTCACATGCCATGGATCCTCTTGAAAGAGAGGGGTGTCTTTGTGAAAATAGTTTCATTTCATAGGTTCCTCATAAAGATTTCATTTCAATTGGAATTTGGTGATTGGATGGGTTGGGGTACATTTCAGCATCACAAACCATTTTTCTTCCAACTAGAAGCTTCTATATGATATTTATGTTATGAAAGAGTAAAAAAATAAATAAAAAAAAATCAGTCTTCATTATTTGATCATATCAGAAAAGCACTTTGGGATTGCTAAGTCACGGATGAGATAAATATATAAAAACAAGAAATTTTTGTGGAGAAACTGTTAAAATATAATGATTTTCCACAAAGTGATGACAAAAATCATTACTCAAGACATAGAGGGGAGGTCATAAATCCTTGCTATAGGTTACAACTCAATTTCGAGAAGCTCCTTGATTTTGTCAGAATCTTGATAACTTATGCAGTTGCAAGTGATTATGAGCAAAAATATTTTATCGTTATTTTACTGCAATCTTGGCAATAAAATATATAGATTTTAGTATTTTTTTATGACACCATTTTTCTGGACCCTAATTATTTTTGAGCTGAAATTCTCTATTTCTCTATATGAAGATGCAATTTATCCTAGATGGTTAATGATATATAAGTTATATAAGCTCAACAGTCAACAAAATACTTCAAACACATGTAGGAAATTTTAAGTGGATTTTTATTTGTTAAATTAAATTACCACATATGTAAATGTATATATGGTACCCTTATTCTCATGTGATCTGAAGTTTCCTACTTGTAAATGAAAGTATTTAACTGTTAATGTTGGACATGGATTTTACAGTTTTATTGTTATTGTTGTTGTTAGACATGGACAACCAAGATTTTGAATATTGTTCTGATGATGGTTTTGACAACTTCTTGGACCAGTACAGTAGCAGTATATGAATCTTTATTGTCTAGTATCACATAAAATAATAAAAAGGTAAATACTGATCATTGTTGAGGTATATGTTCTGGTGCTGATCCTTGGCCAGATAGTAATTACTGGTTGTTACTATCCAACTGTTATTCGAAACCTTGGACATAACACAGGCATTGTGAGCATTTTGGGGTGTTCGTGCTTAATGGTTGTTTCTGCATATGTGTAAAGGTGTTAGTTGAAACTCAAGTTCTTACCTCAATACTGTTGTATGCAATTTTCTTGTGGCCATAAGTTACTGAGCTGCAAGCTTATTTCATTAACGTTATGGGACGTGCAACAAGAGAAGGAAAGGACCGGAAAAGAAAATTGAGTAGAAACAAACTAAACCAAAGAGGAGAAAAATACAGAGTTTGAATTTTCAGAATTGAAAGATCATCAAAACTCTTCTGTTTCCTATGGCTAAGAATAGCCTGAAAACTTTTAAAGAGTCTAAGATTTGCTTAAGAAGAGAGAGCATATATCAATCAATGGTTGTCATATGATTAAATCTCTCACCAGAGTTGCAACCATGATTTGAAGTATAAAATCTTCTCGGCTTGTATCAGCTTAGTGATCTTGAATTCCTGAAAATTTGGAATAAGCTAGAATTCAAACCTGCAAGAACCAGCTAGATATGTCCCTGCCTGATGCTTGGCTGATCTCAGGTTGATCCTAGGATGATTTAAGACAATCTAATTTAGTTACCTGCCTCAGCTAATCTGACCTGATTCAGATCCAAAGGTGTGGTCCTGAACTCTCTTTTGATCCCTATTCCTCTAAGCCTTAGCTGGATGAATGCACACATAAGTGTTGTACCTTCTTATAATGATCTTTGTAGTTTTTAATGTTACTGTGATCAATTACTTTCATTCTTTTATTTTCTTAATTTGTTAAATTTGCACAACAGCACCAAGCAGAATTTAATTTAAAAGTTTCTCGATCAAGTTCCCTCAAAATGTCTGCTCTAAAATGAAAGTTATTTGTGAACCATTTATTATCAAAATCTTTTATTTTTTTATTTTAACTTTTTGTTTGATTATGGTCAATGTTAGTGAGAATATGTTGCTATCTACTTGTATTAATATTAATATTCAAGTTAATATTTATATTCAAGGGAACAGTTTCTGTTATAATATTTGATCTGGAGATTTTTTCGTTTGAAGAGATCCTAGTTATGTAGTTAATGATATTCCTGTTGTGTGATCACAGACATTTGTTCTTGATGTGCATCCTTTCAACCCCCGGATAGCTATGAGTGCTGGCTATGATGGAAAAATGATCATTTGGGATGTAAGGGTTTGGTGGTTTTCCATAATGTTGTTTAAGTTTTATTTCATACTATGTGCTCTGAAACTCCTGATTGTTGCTTCTAGATATGGGAGGGCAAGCCTGTACGGATATATGAAACTGGCCCTTTTAAGTTGGTTGATGGAAAATTTTCACCGTAAGTTATCTAAATAGTCTCAATAGCTTGTATAAAAATTCAGTTGATCTTATTTACTTCTGATCATCCTATCTCAAGTTATTGTTTGTAATGCCTCTATTTGTTTGACATTTGTTAATTTTCTTTTCCCAATATGCATTGCCTGTTTGAGAATTTCATTTACTGTTTATAAATCACAATATTTGTGATCTTTTTTTTCACGAGATTAGAGCTGATTCTGAGTTATGTTGAAATGATCTAATTTTCTGTAATTTATCTAATATTGCTTTGCAGTACAATATGAAAGCTATGGTTTATTAGGTTAGTCTTGTTACTAATTTTTGACTCTGTGCTTAACTTATAAAGTTTAACAGAGTACCTGAACAGAAGTTATATCGATTTTACACTCTTGTTGCTACTGGAATGTCAGCAAGAAAATTGTTCAAACTACAAAATTGCAGAAAGAGTTGAACTTAATGAGGTTACCTACATACTTGTATTAAGGTCCTAGCCAATATAAACTAAGAAACTGAATGCTTGATTGTATCTTGACCTTTCTCCTCTTAGTAACTATGAGGCGAAGTCTAGATAATGTCAGTTATCAGCCTTGGGTTGGACGAATGAGTCTATAGGTCTTTTCTATATAATAATACTTGGTCCTTCTTCTGTTCTGTTTTGAAGAGTTTGGTGATGGGATTCTACGTAGTTACTAGTTATAAATTAATCCCAATGTAGATTCTTGATTGCTTGAGATATTTTCTCAGATCTTTTTTAATTTCATGGAATTTAAGGTTGAGATTTATACTAATAAAAGAATTCTAGAAAATATATATTTTTTGTAACCCAAAAATATAGTATAAGAAGAAACTGAGATAAATATGGTTGTGATCAAGGTTCGCAATACCGTACCGTACCGATATTTCGATCTGGGCTCGGTACCGGTACGGTACGGTATATCGAGCGGTACACCCAGGTGTATCGAGTACTGTAGCACTGCTACAGTACTACAGTACTCTCGGACCGGTAACAGTCGGTCCGCGTACCGACAACCTGTCGGACCGGTACATACCGCCCGTACCGGGTGGTATGGCTCGGTACGGCAGACCCTGGTTGTGATTCGTTGTTTAAGTACTTCTTGTCAGCTCACTGTTATATATAATACGAGAAGTTTTCTATCTTTTGGTTGCAATATGAATTTTGGTAAATGAAAAGCCTATTTTAGTGTTCTTTCTTCTTTTGATTCTTTAGGCTTTCTCGTCTATTTTCTTCCTTGTCATCTTTTTTTAACTACAAACCTTCACTCCTAATTTAATTTTGAATCTCCAATAAGTTTTTAATTTCAATCATATTCTCCTTTATATTTGTTTAACCTGGAAGCATATTAAGAGTATTTTGTTAACTCACTAGTCACTACACCTCCTTTTTGTGTCAAACCATTATGTAAAACTAAATGAACTAATTAAGTGTGTTAAAGCTATTTGGCAAACTTTGATCTCTCTCCAACTAGTTGTAATTCTTGTTATTGTGTCCAATCCTTTTACTTGTGTTTTGAGAGCATGGCTGGTCATTGTTGTCAACTGGTTTTAAGCGTCTGAAGTGCTTTCTAATTAATTAACAGAAAACTTTTAGGCTTTTGCATCTAACTAGAACACCACAATCCCAATTAATAGAAATAGGGATGGAGCTAGGATTTTCAATCCTCTGAAGAAAGGGAAAAACATCATACCTCCTGTCAGATTCATGTTGGAGTTATGAAATTTATATTTCAATATTGAGACCCTTTGATACCTTTGTCATACATAGTATTTTGTTTCAGTTTTTCTAATGTATCATGCAACTTTCTTTTTATGCTAGTTTTTTTATATAGGCTGCATCCCTTAAAACTTGAGATTATTAAAGAGCAGATGGGTGACTGAAATTAATCTCTAAATCTAAAGAAAAGAAGATTCACTTTTTAAACTCATGAATAATACTGTTTGAATAGATTTTGGGTTCTTCTAATATTTTACTGGTTTGAAGCATAACATCTATGGCATCGTTAAATTGTTTGTTTAGATCCATTTTTGACTAAAAAATTATGGTTCAGATGTTGGACTTGTCCATGGTGATGGGAAATTGAAACAAAGTATTTCGTTTTCCTATGAACAAGCAACAACTAGAAAGATCAATGCATATTCATATCATTCATGAGAACTAGAATTGCTTATGTTGGAACATAAACCGAGAACGTATTATCACCTAAATGCATGCCTTCTAGCTGCTGTAATAGGCAAAGAAACTGTCTTTTTTTTCTTTGCTTTTTTTCGGTGAAATAATGGAAATATCATATCTTAGCCTGGGAACATGGAATGATAAGGATGGATAATTTTTCTTATGCTTCTAAATTCATGAAAGTTTGATCAACCTAAGTGTGACAGAAGAACTATATGGAGGTTGGCAAGGATGATGCCTGATGGCCCTGATCATACATTATCATTTTTTAAAAATAAATTTCTGTTTCTATCTTTTCATAAAAAAATTGAAGATGTGGTTTGGAGTGTAACACATGCGAGTACAATAATTTGTCTTTTTTGGTTTGGTGTTGAGTGTATATGGGAATATGCTGCTCTACTATGGCCATCATTTGGTTAACAACGGAAACCAAGACATCAGTGATCTCCTTTGGAATTTTTTAGAAACTGTCGACCACTTCAGTCTCATGGTTAGGCACTTGAACAGAAATGTAGGTAAAGCAACATCACCATCAAAATCCATAAAAATTAATTGTTTCACCATATGGTCAACATGGATTGCATCCCATTCGATACATTATCACTGAAATGTTGCAGACTTTTTGGGCCTATATATGTTTAGGTCCTATTATCATGTTCTAATCGTTCTCATAAATTTGAGGTTATATGTAGCTAAATATTTTCATGTTTACTTGGATTAATTATATTGGTCATATAAACTGTGTTGTGATTGCTTTTTGACCTTAAGAATTGAACATGAGTTTGGGTATGAAATCAGTTGCTCCTTTTGGACACAAGGAATGAATGCTTGACTTGTCATTTTACATTTTTTCCATTAATTTATTTGTGGATTTTTCTTCTTGTTCTCTATGCTTATGAAAATTTCAGCACATCATTTTAATGTCAAATTAGTTGCTCCTTGTGGACACAAGGAAATAATGCTTGACTAATTTTTTTCCATTATATGACTGTTAATCTTATTTTATAGGAACATCAAATTCACCTTTTATTCTGTGTTTAAATTCCATGTGTTTGGATCTATTTCTATGACTGCTTTAACTTGTTATGTGAAGTATGAATATAGCTATTGTAATTGCTCGGTGGTCTTGTAATTATTTAATTCTCACCCTGCTGCTGAATTTGTTGTTTTGACCTTTTATAATTTTTTAATCCTGAACTAGCGATGGGACTTCAGTTGTTCTCTCAGATGAAGTAGGACAGATATTTATTGTGGCAACAGGGCAAGGAGAGTCTCAAAAAGACGCAAAATATGATCAGGTCTGCATTATTCATCAGTTCACATGATTTAAGTTTAATGCTAGGATTTTAAACTCATTTGTTTTTATTAATATTTCTTACCATGACAGTTCTTCCTTGGAGATTATCGTCCCCTAATGCAAGATACAAGTGGAAATGCTTTGGATCAGGTATAGTGTCTTTACCTTGAACTTATGCTGATGCATTTATATTTTTTTCAGTCACATAAATATAGTTGACTAAATGGAGTAAAATATAATGCTTAGCACTCAGATGTCATGGGTAGGTTTGTTGGGCCATGTTGGCTAATCCAGGCCCGCATCTGATTTCTGAAGATAAGCCTTCACAAAGCAGATCTTGATTTACAATTTTGGAACAAGGTTGTGTGGCCACTTAGCCTTCCTATTATAAGTCAGGGGCCAGCTTGGACCTAAGTAGTTCTGTAAAATTATTTACTATCCTAGTGTTTAAGGGTTTTAGGTAGTTTTTAAGTCTTTTATGTCAGAAGTTTGTTACAATATTGAACTCTTTAATGAATTCTTTGTGGGAATTTGAAACCTTATATCATGGATTGTAAAGGAAATTATATTTCTAGAATTGCTCTCTAGTAATCTAGATGTTATGGATCTTACTAGGACTCAGTAACTAGAACTTGAGCCTTGATCATCTATTAAACTTGTATTGGTTATTGCAACCTAATCCACCTTCCCAAGTTGTTAATGTGAGTTTGGTTGTGTTACCCAGCTAGTCTGGACCATGGACACCTATTGAGTATCAAAATTTTCTCAATGAAGCCTGAACAATTTATTCAACTTACCATATTTGTATTGGAGCAGTGTTGTTAGAAGCAGGCATCTAGATGGTTATTAAACTTTGGTGCTTTTTTGATCTTAACTAGGCAAGCAAACTGCATTCCTTTTTAGGTTCAGTGGCATATTTTTTGAACAGTCATAAACTGATTCTGCATCTTTTTGTTCCAAATTAAAATATTTTGTTGTATAATTTCTTAACAATCTGTTCTGAAGGTTCAATTTGTGTGTACTTTATTTCTTTCGCTTGGTTTTATGTCGTTGATTTATGGTTGAAAGCAGGGTTCGTTTTACGGGTCTATACCAGAGTACTTACTGATTGTCAATATAGTACATATGGATCCGTACCAACATACCATGTATTGGCATGGTGTCATGTACAGATGGCACAAAAAAATGATCGAAAATAACTCCAAAATTTTCTATAAAAAAAAAAAAAGATTCGGTTTTTAAGTTGGAAATAAATATAAATTTATTATAATTTCAGTAAAAAATAATCTAAATTAGGAAAGAATGGTGATATCCTTTTTCAAGCTTTGAGGAGCAAATTTATGGCACATTTCGAATTGTTCTTCCGTTGATATTGAATTATCTATAAAGAAATTATTTGAATTATTAGTTTTTTTTAATAATTTAAACTTTAAGATTCCAATAAATCAAGTAATCTATCGATGTATATATCTGATCTACCACCAAAAAGAACGACGGGACTTCACGGGCAGTAGATCGAGATCGTCGATTCTATGTATTTGTACATCAATTTAATATGTTTGTTAGATCCGATCCTGAAATTGATCCCATGGCATAATATGTTGATACACCGTATACCGTTGGTGCATTAATGTGGTGATGGTTGTAGTCTGATTGTCATGAATCACACGTCTAAGGCAGCTCCTAACGCAAGTACTATTGTGGCATGTATTGGCGCGGAACATGGAGAATATCAGAACTTCTACTTTCGTCGTTAATCTGCTACTTCGTATCATAAGAGCAATCACCATACTATTGCTCGGAGAAGAATGACCATCACCGTACTATTGTTGGCAATAAGATTCTCTATAATACCATGATTGTGAATACGATGATCTTTACTTTGTGTTTACATCATGTAGGCTTTGTCACATCTACTCAAAATCATTCATTACCTTCCCTTTCTCCTTCTATGTATAAACTTGACCAGTATTTCATTAAGTTCCATGATATCAATCTTGGGTGGCATATATAAAATATTGGTCCTCGGTCCATACACCACCCTCAAACTATGTAGACAAGATCATTATCTCCCTGACTTTGTCGCCTTCATTAGTTGAGGCACTGTTGTTCACATCGCCACCATGTCTATAGATCGAGTGTGTTGATAAATGCGATGGAGGTGTCTTATCGCCCGACTCGATTCTTTCCAACGGTGCGACTGATGCTACTATCTTCCCCTTTGCCTTTTTATTTGCACTCCGGGTGGATGACTTTGATTGTTGGGTGTCTTTAGTTCCTCGAGTAGTCTGACTCGATGTTGTCCGGCTCCTTCCATCACATTTTGACCGAGGGAGATCTTCCTCCTGTTGGGATGTGCTTCCTTTTCTTCTATTGTCTCGATGATAAAACATGAAGCGCGTGGAGGATCTCTTGCCTTATCAATTAGAGGATCCTCTTGGTTCTCCGTTGCTTTGACCCACTTCATCTGGCTCCTTGTTTAGCTTGGCACACCGCAACCTTAGTCACATGTTGTAGTGGACATATATCAATTTCTCCAACCATCTATACAATAGTTTGTTGTAGACCTTCATGTGAATCAATGTGAATGTTGACCATTTACATTTACAACCACTTGATGTCATCGTCTATGAAAGTATATAGACGATAATCTTAAATTTGGTGCGTCCCCTCCATATTATAGCCACCACTTGACTACAAAAAGATATAAATAGAACTTTATTAATATAACAAATAATTAATGTCATATATAGTTTATAATCAACATGTGTGTAATTTTTTTATATCAGGATTCATATTGTAACGATACAATACAACTATAACGTTGGAGAATGAACCAGATTGATTGGCCCTCCATAATAGCATTAGTTGCAACGACAATGTTTGGCAAGAGTCAATATATAAGATTTTTTAGTGTCGATAATAAATTTGATCGTATTTCAAGACTATCGAAATTGAATGGCTGAATTTAGATAATATATTGCAAGACAAATCATTTTGTTAGTAAAAAAATTTTAAATATTAAAAATTATGAATTAAATTACACATAATATGAATTTATATGTATTATGGATGTCTTGGTTCATATGAACTTCAGTCCTACGATCGATGATCTGTAAGTATTGATCAACATTAAAATAATCTATGAATGCTTTCGTGGCCTCCTCTTTTGCTGTAATCAGCATATGTCAAGATAAGGCATTTGGGGATGCTTGTCCATATTGATCTTACGGAAGACAACATAGAGTGGTTCTACTTTTGTTATAATTTCATTCACGGTATCCCAAAATTTAGAAAAAAGATTAGTCTTTTTTACATTTTTTCCATCGCTCGATCTTGAATTCCTAGAATCGGACCATTTTTTTGAGGTGACCATTGTCATGAGACCTTGCTTCTCTTGCTGTAATCAACATATGTCAAGATAAGGCATTTGGGGATGCTTGTCCATATTGATCTTACGGAAGACAACATAAAGTGGTTCTACTTTTGTTATAATTTCATTCACGGCATCCCAAAATTTAGAAGAAAGATTAGTCTTTTTTACATTTTTTCCATCGCTCGATCTTAAATTCCTAGAATCATATCATTTTTGTGAGGTGACCATTGTCATGAGACCTTGCCTCTTTTGTTGTATTGACTTTAAGACAATGAAATTTGTAGCAAACTAAGTGACTCCAGGTCGGAGTATCTCACCATTTATATACTTTTGCATAAAAGAGTGGACCCAATGATGATTATATGTAAACTTTATAATCGATTATTCTTGAGCTACACACTTGCTGACTGATGGTAGCTCGCTAATATCCTTCAACATTATATCCATGTAATGAGCTGCACATGGAGTTCAAAACGATGTTTTCCTTTTTTCCATCAATTGAAATTATAAATTGATCTTATTAAAATTGGCTTCATTGTCGATGAGTCTCTGGATAATGTACTATGATCCGATTTCCTCTACTGTGGTGCTCAGTATGTTTTCAATATAGTTTGCATCTTGAATCTTGTCGATATTATTAACTAGACTTATGAAAAACCACTCGTTTGTTGTAATATATAAGAAAATTGATAATACTAATTCTTGTTGGCCTTGTCCGACTGTTACACATCAATGTTATTGCATAGTTGTCCCATTGCCTTTTGAAGGATTTGATCAAATCCTTTAATTCTGCCGCTTCCTCATCTAAATACACATTGTTGATCTCCTTGAATATTCGAGGTTGGATCCCTATGTTAGCCTTTTGAATAGAAGAGATCATACTCTAATGATATGGATCTTGGGCTGTGTTTGCTGGAATCCTGTGGAAGTTGAATTATTTTGTAATTGTCTTCCCAATATCTCACTTCTTTTCTTTTGTATATGCATCGTTAATCCATGTCTGCTTCGCTGTTTGTGGAGGATATGGTTTGCGGATCAATATCAATAATATACGGAGTTGATCTCCTGCCAAGTCCTTTGATAAAATCATGGATTCTACCCTGTCTCATGCTACCAATCCGACTCAATTGAGGAGGGGCAATTAGCTGTCTTATGTCGGTCGACCTTTGGAATCCTTGTGGCGCAGACCCACTACCACCGCCATGCTTTCATTGTGAGTCAGGTTGTTGATGCCTCATTGCTTCCTCGTACTTGTATTGATGCTCTAGTGATGCACGAATACTAGCTTTGAGATCCAGGGCGATGTCATCGTCGCGACTCTCATATTCGTCATAAATTGATTCCTGCATAGCCCTATAGTATTCTCTCATCTCTTTATCATTTGCTTGTTCCTTTGGTACCATGTTCCTATCAAAATTGAATCAAATAAGCAAGTTGCGATTAACCCTAATTTAAGATTATGATGTGCGATTATACTTAATGAATCCTCCTTGTCACTATAAATATGTCAATCAACTTATTCATCATTAAATACATAGAATTGACTCAATATAGGTTAAATTACAATGAATTTATAATTAAATATACTAATTGCAACATTAAAACCACTAATTACTTCCTAATTAGCCATCATTTACCACAATAAACATGTTAAACACTCTAATAATTATTAAATACATGAAATTGACCCAATAATGAGTCAAATAACAATAAATTTATCATTAAATATGCTAATTACAGCATTAAATAACTTAATTAAGCCATAATTAACTTTATTTTACCACTATAAATATGTCAAACACCCCAAAAGGCATTAAATATGTAAATTTGATCCGATAGGTTAAAGTAAGACTAAATCATCAGTAAATACACTAATCACACCTTTAACATAGTTAATTGCTCTCTAATTATTTCTCTTTCACCACTATAAACATGTCAAATACTCTAATAAGCATTAAAGACATTTAATTGATTCGGTCAAATTTTGTTATCGTCGTAATTAAATACACTAATCACAGCATTAACATAGCTAATTAATCCTTAATTAATCCTTTTTCACCACTATAAAACATTGTAATAGGTATTAAAAACATTGAATTGATCTAATATGGGTCTTTGATTAAATCATCATTAAAACCACTAATCATAACATTTAAAAAACTTAATTAAAACCTAATTAAATCTATTATACCATCATAAAGATGTAAATCACTGCATGAAATATAATGATTTGACTCATTAAGTGTCTAATTTAAAAAAACCAATATTAAACACACCAATCACAATATTAAAGGCCTTAATTACTCCTTAATTAACAATATTTTACCATTAAAAATATGTCAAACAATATATTAGACATTAACCACATAGAACAGTCTTAATCATCTCATAAATCAACAAAAATCTAAAAAGAGAATACATGCCTCCTGAATGGAGTATTCTTCCCTTAACTTAAGTGTTAATCCTCTCAAATTAGCCTCATAATTTTGATCTAAACCATAAATCGTAGCTTTGTTGAGTTTAAGTAGTGAAAATGTGAGACTGCGAGAGATGTAAGTGAGAAAGAGTTTAAGAGAGTAAAATGGATTAAAAGGAGGAGAAAAGGGTTTAAATTGTCAAATTGATCATTTGAAATAGGGCAATCTCAGCCCTTGATTGGTATTGATCGAAATTCGACTGTCATTGACCGGTACAAGTCTGTAACATTCGGATTTCTACCAGTACAAACCCCATATATAGGGTCATGTAACGTGTATAGTCTGGTATGGGGTGGTCCGCATATCAGTGCCCTATTAGATTGGTATGTACTGCCCATACTGGGTGATATACCATGGTACGATGAACCTTGGTTGAAAATAATGGCTCTATCATACTATATTATGTTGTCTTATAGACTGTCTGGATGGTGGTTCCCATTAGTTTTGATATTTCTTGAACACTAAGTAAGATTTTGGGTCTCAATTTCATCTCACTATGCTTCTTCAATAACCTTAATTGTTCTGACTTTAACTCTTGTTGCAACATAGGAGACACAGCTTACACCACATCGGAGGAACATTCAGGATCTCCTTTGCGATTTAGGTATGCATTTGTATTTATGGTCACTGCATAAACTATTAGTATTCCTTTGCTATGTGATTCTTTCCTAGAGTGGTTTTCTAAGTAATGCTTTCCTCCGTTAGACATGATTCCATATTCGGAACCTTACCAGAGCGTCTACCAACGGCGTCGCTTAGGTATCTTAGGTATTGAGTGGCGTCCCACTTCATTGAAACTTGCAGTTGGTCCAACTTACAATGCCACTACCGGCGATTTTCAACCGCTACCAATTGGCAACCTAGAACAATGGGTTGAGCCTTCACTAGAGGTTGTGGATGCTATAGATTGGGAAGTAGAAAATGACATGCAGAGTGATGACACTGATTCCGAATATAATGTAACCGATGAATATTTAAGCGACGGGGAACATGAAAGTTTGAGTAACAGTTCCTCTGGAGATGCAGAAAGCAGTGCAGAAGACAGTCGAGTTGACCATGACTTAAATGAAGGCCTCAGGAGATCTAAAAGGAAAAGGCACAAATCTGAAGTAAGATTTAGTTTGGAACTATATCAGTCTTTTGTTTTACTTCTACTTATCTCTGATATATTCTCTGGCAGGCCAAGTTCACAACTTTGTCTGGTAGGCGGTTCAAAAGAAGAAGCTTGGACAAGAGTGATGGTGCTACTCTATCTAGGGCTCATAGACATAGGAGGTCAAGGAGTGGATGCATGACAGGAAAGACATCTTCTAAATCAGAGCCACTACGACCACAGAGAGTTGCTAAAACAAATGCTCTCACTTTCTTTTCTAAGATAACCAGTGTTTCTACAGATGGAGAAGATAATGATTCAGATAGCAATTCCTCTGAAAGTGAATCAGTGCCTCCAGATTCAAAGACCCAGAGCATCGAGTCTGAAAGGTCAATGAAAAATAATCAGCTTCATTATGCAAATGAAAACAAAAAATTCAAGGATGAGTGTGAAGATGCTGCAAAACCTTCTCGAATCATAAAAAATCAGGACAGTCAGGCAAGCAGGAGGAGTTTGGTCCTTAAGTTGCCACCTCGTGAGCCAATAGTAGTAGTTTCTGGAAGTACAGAATCTATTTGCCACAAACAGGATGGTGTACCAGTTTTCTTGCCGATAACTAGTGTTGATGTCAATTACAAGGCTGATGCACATGGAGTAAGACAAACAGAGATTTTTGGTCATCCTAATCTTTCAGCACACCAGGCCAGCACGATGAAATGGGGAGAAGTAAAGCAACGGTCATCCAAACGTCCAAGACTGGGCGACATGATTACAGATATTTGCCAAGATGGTCCTAGAACATTTGTAAGTGACAATAATGGATGTCCCATATCCGAGAATGAGTGTGGAACGTCTCTTTCTAGGAACCAAGCTCATGAAATTGATCCTGACAGAAGTGCACTTGAAAACAAGGGAGTGGATGATGGTCCACTTGGATTAAATGGTACTAGAATTGATGTGCTTTCTCCTGAAAGGAAGTCTAGATCTTTAAGACATCAGCATGAACACGATCAGGTGACACTGACATGTAGTGACAGTAGAAATAAATTAGTTGTACCACCTCGCAGGGACCCAGTGAGCAGTGAATTCAGGATATCTAACATTGCATTAAAAGGACCTGAAGTGGTTCCAATTAAAAATGAGAATTTATTTGGCAGTAAGTGTATTGTTGATGTCGATCAGCAAGTGGAAAAAAATGTGAAGACCATCTACCCAAAGCTACGAATCAAGTCGGGAGGATTAGCACAAGAGGTTAGTAGTTCATCCTCCAAACCAAAATCCATGGCATGTAATGATTGGAGGAGCTTTGAAGGTGAAATATTGTCAGATAGTCCAGTCCCAACTGGACATAATCTAGATTCAGTTATGAATGAGGAGGATGAAGGAACCAGTGGAAAGAATTTAGAACATGGGCAACAGAATAATGGATCAGAAAGTTCAGAAAGGCAGACAAATGCCAGTTTATACATTTCTCACAATTACAAGATGGATTTAGAGTCCCATGGTAAAGTATATAATGCTGTTTATAGAAGGACAAAGTCATCCCAGGGAAGGAAAAGTTCTGGGGCTGGCATTAATGTAAAGGAAGAAACTACATCAGACTCTGATGACTACGGTGGAGATGTAAAGATGGAGCTAGGTATTAGCAATAGCATGATAGACAGTTCTTGCAGAACAAGATCCATGAGGACATCCAGAAATGAGTTAACTGATAGTAATAATAATTTTAGAGTGAGCCAAAGAAATGATCCATTAGGTGCTTCCACAAGCAGGGGAAGATCTACATTAAATGCTTGTGATCAACTTATTTTTGATGAATGGAAGTCAACTTCTAAAATTACTGTTGGTTTAAGATCTACCAGAAATAGAAGGGAGAACTACAATACTGACTTTAGACCTTTGAACAAAAGAAGAAACCACCAATCAATTCGAAAACTTTCATGGCTTATGTTGTTTGAGCATGAGGACAGCTACAGGTATATTCCTCAGAAAGGTGATGAGGTTGCCTATCTGAGACAGGTATAATTGTTTTCTGATTTGGTGATATTTCATTCATATAAAGGTGCCACATTGTTGTTGCTTATTTGTTCTCTTGACCATTTTCAGGGCCATAAAGAGTATATTGAAAGTTCTGGTACATCTGAAGTAGGTCCCTGGAACTTTGTAAAAGGCTTAAAAGCTGTTGAGTTTTGCAAGGTTCAAGACCTTGATTACTCTACACTTCCTGGATCTGGTGACAGCTGCTGCAAACTCACCCTTGGATTTGTAGATCCTTCATCCAGTGCATTTGGTAAATCTTTCAGAATCACCATGCCAGAGCTTGATTATTTTCCAGACTTTCTTGTGGAAAGAATACGCTATGATGCCTCCATAGAAAGAAATTGGACTCACAGAGATAAGTGCCAAGTCTGGTGGAGGAATGCAGACCGAGATGGTGGGAGTTGGTGGGGGGGACGGATCTTGGCTGTAAAGCCTAAATCTTCTGAGTTTCCAGATAGCCCATGGGAGCGATATGTTATACAGTACAAAGATGATTCTTCTGGCCAGCATTTACATAGTCCATGGGAGTTTCACGATGCCAGTATCCAGTGGGAACATCCTTGTATTGATAACGAAACCAGAAATAAGCTTTTAAGTTCTATCGCTAAGCTAGAGAAAACATCAATAACAAATGAGGTGAATCAATTTGTAGATGACTTTTCTGTTAAACATTTGGTTAGTTTCTCTTTCAAGCTCTTATGTGAACCTTTGACCGTTTACTGTTTTCTCAGGATTGTCATGGTGTTTGTAAACTGAGCCAGGTGGCTCAAAAGTCTGAGTTTTTAAACAGGTATTTCTATTTCTAACTAAAGCTTCTATTTTCTGATTACTTGGATTTTATGATAAAATTGTTAGTGGAAGCAATAAAATACGACTTTTCAAATTGCATTGTGTTTCTGCATTTTAAGTTATTATTTTGATAAGTTTAACAAGATATTTTCATGTAACTTTAGTTTATTACCATCCACTTATATGTAACGGAGTCCAAGACAGCTTACTTTTTTATCATGCATTGGGGCCTCAGCGTGTATATACTGTTTTAGTAAACAGTATAACTGACATGAGGCAGTTGAGATGAATGTGTGGAAGTTAATACAAATGTTTCATGAACAGTTAAGGGTGGTCTTATCAGATACCAAATGAGGAAGAACCCACTACTTGCAATGGTTGGAAAAGTGAGTCAATCTAAATTAGTGATGCAAAGAAAGGTAGATAAACAACATAGAGGACATCAATGGAAATGAAAAGAAATGTTTTGTGGATGTTAATTTGTTAACTAGTTATATTGCTTTTTACCAGAGCTCAATCGAGAAAAGATACTTGTAGCTCAATATTTAGAGAAGATACTTGTGGCTGCCCCAAATTGTCAGGTCTTACAGGTTCTTCGTGTTTGTTGTTGTATTGGAAGAGTCCCTTATTTAACATTATTAAACTGATCAATGGAAACATCTTATACCAAGGAGATTATTCTGTGATTAATTTATTTTCTTGCATATTATTCTGTTTCTAGAATGTGATAATGTGTGTGGTAAGTGGTAACATTGAGAATGTGATAATATGTTTGTTGTTGTATTGAAAAGAGTCCCTTATTTTACATTATTAAACTGATCAATGGAATCATCTTATACCAAGTAGATGATTCTGTGATTAATTTAATTTCTTACCTATTAGTATCTTTTGATGTGTGGTAACATTGAGAATGTGATAATGTATTTGTTGTTGTATTGAAAGAGTCCCTCATTTTACATTATTAACTGGGGTTAACTTTATTTAATCTTACTACCAGATTTCAATCTGGTCTCGAGAGGCCACCTTGGCCCAGTTCCAGCTCAATCTGGCACATGTTATATTATCTTCTTCTAATTATTCTTCAAGGCCAAGTAGATGTTTTATAGTTAAAAATATCAGCTATTGATTGTCAAATGATCTAGCTTTTGAAATGTTTATTTTTTTCCCCGATTAAGTTTTACAGTGATGATAGTGGAGTTATTAGAAGCATGTGCAAAGCAAATTCCAGCTAAAACTCTTGTTACATTTGCAAGTCATTATTGTCTCTTTGCTGTTCCACTGGATGATTGATGAAATAATGTCCTTCAATAGTTACTTGGCTGATAATTACTGTTATTTTGTGCCATAACGTGAGGGTGGGGGTAATTAATTTCAAATACCAAAAGGAAGAGTGACGTGGGTTTAAGGAAGCTGTTATCTTGATAATGGACTGGAAAGAATTTAACGGTAGTGGGTACACCTGGTATGATGACCGGGAAGTTGCATTAAATTTGAAGGGTTTTGTTAGGGCAAAGGCACAGCTGATCCTGAGAGCTTAAAAACAGTTTTCTCTCAAAGCCCCTAACCATTGTCGGAAAAATGATATGGCATGTTCTTGTTCTTAAACATGACATAATTCTGGAATTGTGAATTATCAAAAAAATATTCATTTCATTGACGCATACTCTTTCTGCAGGTTCCCCGTTCCGCTTTCCCTCGAGGTGATAAAGAGTAGACTCAAAAACAACTACTACCGCACTGTGGATGCAGTCAAGCATGATGCTTCTGTCATGATTTCAAATGCTACATCGTACTTCAGCAAAAGCGCAGAGATGACAACAAGGATGCGTCGATTGTCCGAGTGGACCATGCGCACATTCTCGTTGTAGGAGTGCCTCTTAAAAAGGAGAAAAAAAGATTAAATCTTGCTGCTTCACTGTAGATAAACTATTAATTCTAACATATTGCGTCACCTGTCAGCATCAGCCTTTTACTTAAAGATGTAATTTTTCAGGGAGGAATTGGCATTACTTTGGGTGGTTGTTACGAGGGAATCGATACCAAGGAGGTTCAAAAAGAAAGAGAGAGAGAGAGAGAGAGATAAAAGAGTGCTGGCAGTGAACTGCCACGATTAATTTTTTTTGTATAGACCCACATCACCATCCTCAATAAAAAGAATGCGCAAGTGCTCGTTGTCAATGTCATCTGTGGCATAGATGTATGTACATGAGCTTAACAAGTTCTACATAACTGTTACATAATAATTTGGAAGAATGAGAAAGTGCTTGTTGTCAATGCCATCCGTGGTATAATTTGGGAATTATGAATCAGTTGTTACATTGAGAATGTTATAATACCAAATTTTCTCTTGGTTAGGGATAATTTGACGATAATACCTCATAGGATTCACCATGATTTTTCTCTTGGTAATCGATACACTTAATTCCCAAGAGAGTAAATAACATCTTTGCTATTTATTTTCCTTTAAATTTGTATTTAGTTGAAGCGCCTAAGATGAATGGAAAGGTGAAGAAGATGCTAGCCAAAGACAATAAAATCATCAATTCAAATCTCGTCTTTGTTATTTATTTTTCTTAAAAAAATAACCTAACATGAATAATTTAGGATCGATCCAGTAAGCTAAGCAATTTCTGTGTCAAAACCCGACCTATGTCCTCACCATCACATGAACAAACAAAATGCCAAGGCAATACAACACTATAACAAAAATTAAAATAAGATCGATCATCAAAATAATCATTTCTCTCAATACGATAAAATAAATTAATTATAAATTATTTTCTGTAATTAAATACCTTTAAGATATCAACCTTTACGCTTTTAAAAATTATATTAAGATTTTTTATTAACGAAAATAAAACATTTAATCTTGTTTCTTTTCACACGATTTTATCGACAAAAATATTGTACGTACTCATTAGTAAATCAAAATAAAACAGAATTAATAAATAAACATTACGGTATTTACGTCAATAAAATCAACGACATAAAAAAAATGAGATTATATAATTTATTTTTTTAAGTATAAAGATACCAAAATAACTTTTGAAAGTATAATGATTGAAATATTAAAAATAATTAACTACAAAAGATAATCTATGTAATTAGCCTCAACAAAATCAACAATCACGATAATTCTCACTTAAAGCTGAAAATATCATTTCAAAGCATATTTAGTGTAGCGGATCAAAGCATATAAGAAAACCATGGAACTACTGGAATATATTAAATGAAGGTTTCTGCTAATGGTTTACAGAAAAGAAAAGATCCTAAGAACTCCACCAAACTATTAATGACAGAAGAACCAACACCAGATGACATCAATTCCTTTGTCCCTCATCAGAAGCACAAATATACATTCCCTAAGCCAGATTCAAATACCAGTCATTTGACTAGACATTACCAGCGTTATTCGCGAAAAAGATACAAAATTCTCATTTTCGACATTTTCAATGCAGAAAAGCAGCACACTGATTATCCAATCGAAGTATTAACAAGTCATCAGACAATCAGTATTGGCTGTAAGCATTGAAGACCAATCGATAAGCCTCAGAACTATGCAAAATCGTGCTTCCAATAGATTCTCCCTCACTGACTAATTTGGCAATCAGCAAAACAAGCAACAGCACAGGTATATGCCAATGAATAAACATAGAAAAAAAAAGCGCAAAACAAGTCAAAATTCCATCTTTTGAGAGGGAACAGTTCAGATTTTATGAAACATTACCAGTAAAATAACTTTTTGATAATAATAATGAATCAAACATTAAAAGAAATACTTATTTGCATTTCATTGAGTACAAAGAGATCCGCAAAATCTAGTGACACAATCACCTTATCATGATGTCATAGAGAAACATTTCTACAGTAGCTTCATTAGTGAAGATGCTGAACAGAAGCCCACAAAAAGAAAACAAGTCCAAGGAATCTGAAGAATCACACCATTCATGTCACTGAATCAGGTGACACAGAGATGGCCAAGTTGAGAAAGCACTTGCACCGTGTGACCACGACGACTATGCTACTTATTCAAGCAATGTCATGAAAAAAGCTCAAGCTAAAGGTGTGAGATGACAAAATGATCTGACAAGACCAATGAAGTCATTTAAATTGACGGACAACAGATAAAAGATAATAATCCCAAGAACTATTCTGCACTAAAAGTTGTCCAACATAATTGCTACAGAAATCTAAAAGTGGTGGTGTTTGCTCACCCAAACTCTAATCGATAACATTCAGAAGTATTCCAACATTGCAGAAAGAACAAAATCATAATCAAGTCCTAAGGGAAAAACCAGCTGGCTCAGTCTTCCATTACTCCTCCATCTCAGAACCTGAGGCACCATTCTTGTTGTTGTGCTTCCTGGCGTACCTTTGATTCCTCAGAAACTTCGGATCCATCTGCAACATAGATAATCAAAATCATTGGACATTCAGCAAAACACATACATAAAAGAAAGATCTTTGACACAAACAAACCAATCCAAGCACAAAATACCAATTCAGAAATGCTATTACGGCGCATCCTGAGTGATAATATTCATAAAACAACCAATAAAAAGGAAGAAAACATCGGCTTGGCGAAATACACCAAGCATACACAACAAGAACTACAAACACAGATGCCCATGCATCAACTAAAGTCCCTAGGTAAGAATAGGAAAAGATAGGGATAAATCAAGGTCAAGACCCAAGATTGAAAGAGGGCAATTAAGTAGATAAGGAGGGGTACCCCTTTGGTGGAGGTGTGGCGATGCTTCCGGGGCTTCTTGATCCCGTTCTTGTGGGCTTTGTACGACTGGTTGTGAGCTGTGTGGTTCTTCGATTTCGCCATTTCTGAATCCAAGAACAAAGGAAAAAAGAATTTCCTAGAGCCGAATTTCAAAGACAAAATACCGTGGGATGGAGTGAAACCAGATCGACTCTTCGTCCGCCTTCGGTGCCGGCTAGGGTTTGGGCCTCGAAGCCGACGGCGAAATTCTACAGACAGACTAACTTTCCGCAATGACAGCTTATATTCTCCGTACATACTAATTGGGCCTTTATTGGGCTTAAGATAGACTAACTTGAAAGGCTCAATTATTGATCCAACTAAAAGACATAAAGCCCCAATTCCATGGAAGGGATAAGATGATGGGCTATTTCCAATAGACAATTGATTAGATGATGAATTGTGATAGCATATTTTTGGGAATTCTAGAGAAAAATCTCTTATTTTATTTTATTTTTTTGAAGAAAAAAATATCTCTTATTTTTAGAAGTTTCTAAAACATCTCTCTTTTTTTTTTCCTTAGTATCCTAAATCGTCTCTCCCTTTTTCCTCTTTTTTTTTTTATGGATCAATTAATAAGGTGATTTGATTTCGTTATAGTATTTTTATACTATGATATTACTGAAAACATTATATAATATATATTATATTATAATATTTTTCTGATATTACTAAAAACACTAAGATAGTGTAAAAAAAGTATAACTCGATTGATTCATCTTATAAATCGATTACAGATGTTTGATTTTCAAATCAAATATATTTTAGGTATTAGATAAAAAAGAGACGCTATTATGAAATTCTAAAAATGAGGGTATTTCTCAAAAATAAAATCTAAAAAAAATATTTTATTTTTCAAGAATTAGTCCGAGAATATTTGCTAATGTGTTTTATCAGGCAATACATGACATTTTAAACCATATAATCTTTACAAGATGTACAAATGATACCATTTGTGAACAACACATGAATGGTTAGCTGAATTTTTCTTCTTTTTTTTTTTTCATTTAACAAACTTTTCTTGCACATAAAAAGTGTATATTCAAAATTATGATTATTAGTCTTGTAGTAAAAGCACTTGTGCATAAATGTTTATAATGAGAATAAATCAAACAAAGCATGTTCACCCTTTTCTTGTCCCTCTTAATCTCTCATAGGACAACAACTAATTACATTGAGGAAATGATCGACTCTATCATTTTATTGGAGTAGACTATCATGTACTACTTCGTTTGACCGGATAAGATTATTTATTGTCGGAAAAGTCATATCATGGACACATCACTAATTCCATCACTTATTCTGACCAAGTTTCCTGTTAGGGCATCGTTTATCACATCTTACAAGTATTAGTATGAATTGTATTCCATTATGTACCATCCATCCATCATCCATCACTTGAATCCTAAAGTGGCTGTCGGTCAACTATGCACTCCTCATGTGATGGTCAATGCCACGTAAAACATGTTGTTTACTAGTTCTAGTAACCTGGTCATCAGTTGACCCATGCTATGCCACATCAACTGCTACGTTGACCATTTTATTTTTATTTTTTATAGCATGCTTTTATTTTTTTTTCAAAAATATCATTTCCTTCTCCGTACGCGCCATCGATCTTTCCTCTTATCGTTGCCTCTGTCTACCATGAGGGTCTATTGCCTATTGTCTCTGTACAATATCCTTTTTCACACGTTATCATGAGGTTTTCTTTGGACGATACTAAGCAACCCTCGCCTTTAACAAGATCGATGCACTTTATTGTGCCATTGTCGATAGACTGTTGCCTATAGTAGGATTGACGACCATAGTAGGTCATCATCTTTCCTTCATTTACTCCCATATATAAAGGACGAAGGTGAAGAGTCAATCACACAAGAGTAGAGTACAAAGGTAAAAGATGATAAAGGACAAGTGATGTTCGATAGGACGAAATAGAAGAAAGAGAAGTGAACAAAATTTATAAAATTATAAAAAAAAAAAAAAACAAAGGGTAGTATTTGAGGAAAAACGAAAACCGGAGACGACATATGAGGGGGCAAAAAAGAAAAAGTGTACAAGAAAATCGCCATATATAATTGATACACATTAGACCCGGTTCACATCGCTATTTAAACCGATTGATTGAGTGTCACATCGTGGACCAACATTGCACTCGTTCCAGCTGGTTCAACCGACTCATTCAAGTCACGTGCCTCAATGTGCCCAGCACACCAATAATTGTACGCGACAACGTCTTGCGGCCCGGTTCGACGCGTGGGACCGCGTCCACGTCCGAGTCAGACAAACGACCGCCCCACCGAGGCAACACGGTCCCTTTCCTGTCGACTACTCTAGCGTTATCGGACCCCGTCTTCACTCTCAGGCTATGGGGGCCCCACGTGAGGCGTAGTTGGGTACGAGTTGCTGTTTTTCGGCCCTTCTTGGGATAGTGACGTA